AGGATAGTTCGGAATCCCTCTTTGTGGGATTTCGGGTGGCAGTTGGGACTTTTCTGGTCCATGAACCCCGGAAGCTTCTTCCCATCGTCGGAGGATATCATTTTCATTGCTTTCCGATCTTATGGGCTGATGGAGGGTATCACTTCTTCTGGGCTGGGACCCTTCTTCTGCTTGCCAACGAGAGCGAGAAGGGCGCTTGCTTTTCTTCACGCAAGAGAAGGATGCCCCAGCGGCATTGTCAGCAACGATATCCATGGAGGACGCAGAATTGTTCTGTAGTAGGGTAGATAAGAACGTTTGTTGTGCGGAGAAAGCCATGTTGATGGTTGTGGTGTGGATAGAAAAATTTGAAAGTATGAGAGTTGTCGGAATAGTTTTGTGAGAGCTTGGAGGGAACCAGAGCCGCAAAGCTGAAAAGTTGAAAAGCTGGATCGCAGTTCGCAAAGAACTGAGAAATTCGGCTGAATTGAAAGAACTCCTCTGGTGTTTTAAGGGCTATGTCTCCCTTGTTCTTCGCTTTCCAAATGTTATGAGCTTATTGGCAAAAGGTGAAGCCGAAGAATCATTGTTAAGTCATTTAGTACTACCCAGGCACTTAGGTACTTATTGTTAAGACACCAAACTTCAACAAGGGGTAATTGGCAGCGCTGCTTTACACTGTTCATTCATCATGATGTGCCGCTGGGTGCTGGGTCCTGCTGGCTAGCTAGAGCACTCTCAGTAGTTAGTCCAAGCAGACATTGCCAAGAACCACCAAGCGAAGGGTCAACCAAAGAGCTCTCAAAGCCAGCAAAAGAGGAAAAGAAGGTGGAACCGCCTCCAGCATCCAGCTTCTTTGACCCACCCAAGCTCCTGTCACTCACCCCATCAGTCCCACCGCTAAGTACTTACTTGTACTGAGCAGTGATTGATCATTCAGAATGTAGAATACAGCTCTTGTACAACAGAATTTCATTGCCACCCAGCTCTTTCTCGTTCCACCGAAGCCGACAGAGAGTCTGCTGCTTGCTGGCTTGGACGCTTGCCAGGAGGTTCGAGGTGCTGATGGTGGTCAGCGGGTCCCCATGTCAACAAATAATAGCAAACGCACTTGCCTTCCTCGGACGTCTAGTATATGTTGTCATTCCACGAATCCATCAGATAGAAGACATGGGGATTCTTTGCCAGTCCTCCCACTGGTTGCTTGTGAACAGATTGGTGGTAAAACGAACATGTTTGATGGAAGGCGGCAAAGGTCTACAGTGGTCCCTTCCTTCCTCTCGTACAGCATGTCTGATTGATGTTGTTGATGGGAAGGGCAACTGCATTCTTAGATCCATGTTCGCCCATTTCAGCCAGAAGTTGCTTTAGTACATGTAGTAGCAAACACTCAAAGGAAGACTGGTTCCTACTTCTGATTCTTTACATTTATAGTTCTTGCAGATGATGGTGCGGAGTCATCAGAGAACCCTCACTCAACTCTGATACCTGTGGCCGCCGACACAGATCGCTCCGCTCCTATGGTCATGTGAATCCACCCCCATCCACTTGGCTGCTTTCTTCTATGCGTTGTGCCTGGTGGCTTTGATAGAACGCCACACCGGTGGCAATGGCAGAGCTGATGGGTTGTTTTGCAATTTCTCTTGATTATGATGCGGGTATTCCGGTATTCCCTTTGTAAACCTCTCTGTGTAGTATTCTAAACATGGAGCAATCGATACCGCCGGTGACGTAGCTATCTTAGTGACGACCACACATCTACCCTGGGAGATCCTTAGATGGCATCAAAGAGTCCTGCCATGGCACTCCCTTCCATTCTGAACTGCGACTACCCAGTTGGCATCAACCATCCAGGCTGTGGGAAGCGCGCTCCCGTTGACGCAATCGTTTTCGTACCACGAGCACATTCCCGGGCTAGGCAATCTTCCCAAGTAAAGTTGATACTAGTAGATTCATTGAATGATTCCAAAGACTTTGGTGGCTGTTTAGTTAGTTCTTCTCATCAAAGTCTACAACCATGGTGCTTGAAGCACGAGGCGCTTTGAATATTTGGTCGACCGAATTGATAGAGAGAGAAATAACACACAAGAAACATCCGACAAGGAAGGCCCGCTGGCTGGCTTCGGGATTGAAAGTCTTTTGGGTATACTCTCCGGTTCATCGGAAGCGCCACAATTTTCAATGGGCCCGGTGAATAGTGAATTGCGAGTGCCCCTGTCGTTGACGGCTTTGGGTAAAGGAAAAGAGTTGCGTTCTCCCCAAACTGTCATTGAGAGATTGCTGGTGTTGGCATGTTTTTCGCAGTGTGCTAACTCTGTCGGTGCCCAGGCAAGCTATGAGGTACAAGGCTAAATGAGAAAGTAAGGCACTTGTTCAGGCTGCTGGATTGTTGTGATCTTTTGCTCTCTGCCTTTTAAAAGTTGCTCTTGTGGCTTATCTTTCTTTCTTTTCTTAACGCCTCCATTTCTTCCTTTGGCTGATTGCCGCTCCTATTATAATATGATTGTTCTGCATCACAGTAGATCCCACAGAAGGCAAGCATGAGAAATGATTCCCACAGTAGACCCCACAGAAGCTTGAGAAATAATGCCTAAATACCTACAAGTCGACTGGTACCTACCCTGAATTCTCTCCTAACAACCCCAAGGACAAGAGATTGGTGAAGCATAGTGTGGTGTGTGGTGTTGGTCCCAATTGGCTGTGTTTCGTCTGTGACTGACTGGCTCTCACTCTGCAAAGGATTTCCTTCAGGGGTAACTCTAACGTTAACATATCCTGCATTTTGACAAGGCTCGAGGCGCGGGTTCAAGCCGCAGCAGCGCCCGCCACGACGCATTTCTGCTACCGGTATGGTGCCGGTGATTTTAACTGTCCCGTTCCTTCTGCACAGGTCTCCAACCTCTTGGAGATAGTGGATAAACAGAGCTCGCTGGGCTACAAAAGCTCGTGAGAGGTTGAGAGCTCACATCATGCCCTCGCAACAGTCACCAGTCACATTCAGGCGCCCCGACGAAGCAAGAAGGAGGTTCATTGCTGGAGCCAGAACTGCCCCAAGATCGTCCCTGTGTGTTTATGCTCAGACCTGTGTCCTCAACTGCCTGCAATGCCTACCCAGACAGGAAGCAAGGCTCCTCTCTAGCTAGCGTGACTGCTTCGGATCATGGGTGTTCGTACCGGTAGCTAGCTCCGTGCGCGGCTAAAGCTCCGACTACCCAAACTAAGGTAATAGACAGCGCGGATTCTTTGCAAAAGGTAGAATATCGTAATCGTTACACTATCTAGCTATGGTTCATGCAAAGGAAATCATACCACAACTACTTCCTGTTGTGGGTACCCCGTATTGTGTTCCTGTGTGTGTTCTTCAGCAGGTTGTGCTACACTTGCTTCCAGTGTCAATAGGATGCCACTGGGAGAACCATGCAAGGGTTTTCGGTAACTCTTCTTTTTCTCTCCTCTACATGCCTTTGTGGCCTTGTTGGAGGTGAAGTCTTGTCATTCTCGTTGGTTTGGTAGCCTTGTTGATCCCCAGTCGTAGTCTTCTTGGGGGATTCTTCCCACCGTGTTTCGGCCTTCCTGGAGGGCTTGCGAGTAGGGGGTGATGGAGGGCATGTCGGTTTGGATTTACTGTCAAAAGCACACGAAGAGGAACAATGCCAGCGATTCCGTCTTCTTCTGCGATGCCCCCCCGTGCAACCAGTTCCGCCGCTTGCATCAATGTCATTGTGATACCTCGTCTCATCCGACATCAAGGCAGCTGGTGTGCGCCCGCACCGAGCATTGTCTACGACTAGCACGGGTGAGACGACGGCAGAGGATTCCATGGAAGCATCCATCAGCAAATCCGCCAAGAAAGTCTGCATTGGAGAGACAACGCCATGTTTGGGGATGCACATAGCTAGCTATATCTGTTGTGGGCCTCGCTTAGCCTAACCGGTACCGTAGATACACAGACCAAAGAAACAATGAGCTCTTGGGAAATTAAAAAGTGATCAAACAGAGTTGCACAGCAGGAGTGTTGGTGGTGGGTGAGTGGCCAAAACGTTCAATCCAGACAACCAGGGTACCGGTATGGGTACCACTAGAAAAATGTTCGGACTTCTACTTTCTGTTCCAGAAGCTCGATTGAGGAAGAAATCCAAGAAGTCACGGTTAGTCGAGTACCGAAAGACTTTTGAAGGGCAAATCCTGGTAGCTATTGGAAGTAGAAGCCATCCATGACTGTATGATACTGCCCCTTGAGTCGCGTTCCTTAAGGGTCAGTTCCTTGATATAATTTGCGTTCGCTTGTGTCAACCTTGCTCGTTATGTAATTCTAGCCAGAATTGCTCAAAATGCGAAGAGTTGTGATGACATGGCCAGAGCGGGCTGTTCATACTTATTCTTTGTCTCGAACGTCACTATCGTCTATTTAAACATGAGAGCAGCTATGGACAGTTTGAGATATTGAGAGGCTTGTTTTCAGTGGAAGAAGGCTTTCTAGAGACACAATCAGTCATCAGATGCCCGACAGGCCTGGAATCTGCGTGGCGGCGCCCGCTATTGCCTTCGTATCTCTGGTGCGGAAGCTTGTGTGGCTTGCGATCTTGGTTGGTTGGTTTATACCGGCAGCGTCCAATTGCCTATTTTATTTGAGGTTGCTGCGATCGGATCTGTGAATGCCCTACATGACTTTACAATGTACTTCGTGTACTATTGTTATGTGCTGAGAAGACTGGCAAAAGAGAGCAAGTAAGATAGCTGTAAAATAAGGAGGACCAAGCAGGAAGAAGGCTCAGGATCAATTCCAAATCACTTGAATGGAAAGATTGGGGATTGGGGGCACTTATACTTTATGGAAGATTGGCGTTGGGGACACTGAAGTCACTTGAGACGGCAGAGGCGGTGATCTTGTGTCTGCAACGAATTGAGAATAGTACTGTCATTCAGGTCGAAGACAGGAAAGCCGTGAAACAGGCAACTAACTATCAAGAAACTAATGTACCAGGTACTTGTAGTACCAGTACTAGTAGTTACATAGTCAACCTGTATAGGGGGCTTTCTTCCACACTAGCTAGCTTCTTGGGATATCGCTGGCTTATCTTGTCCTTTTCTCCGTGTTTACCGGTACGGGGAATCCTTGTTGCTCAAGCAGCCAGCAGCCACCAGTCAGGAATTGCAAAGGACTGAACCCGAACTTTGCGAGATACTGACATGGATTAGTAGGATTAGACTTACTGTCTCTTGCGGTACTGATTGTTTTGTTGGGTATTCGATTCGAATGATCCTTGCTTGCTTCTTCAGGCGCTATGCTACACCAGCCAAGAAGTAATAGTACTACTAGCTAGCTAGTTGTGGAGCGAGAGTGTGGTTGTATCGTTCTTTGATAGTTATGTATTAGCATTAGTATTACAGCCGTTTGCAGTCATTGCAAGATTGCGCTCTTGCTGCATGCGCTGCCGACTTTTGACCCTTTCCCTAGTATACCCCAAGCTTCCCGGTTCTTTGCTTCCCAGATACCCATCTTTTTTACTTAAGCTGCCGAAGCAATGTGCAATGCAACAACACTTTTGGATGCTCTGGTCGGTGAAAGTGATGATGCGATAAGGAGTGTCTTCAAAGCCTGAGGAGACATGGTGGTGGCAGCTAGAAGGGTTGTTTGACCACGCTTGGGTGATGTTGGTGCTGGAATGCTGTGCCTGCGAGGACGAATTGGTGCGTCCCGGTTGGATTGATCCTTAGGCGACGATTCTTGTTCTTCCCATCGTGAAGGTTCCTTTACCGTTTTGCGTCTTCGGCGAGGAGGAGAGGGAGGAAGAGTGCTCTTCTTGGTCGTGGTTTTCTTCACCTCGGATGTTTGCCACCTTGTCGTTGCCAAGGGGCGACGGGAGGAGCTGCAGTCGAGTTGAGGAGCTGCTCTGGGTTGTTCGTGGCCACGAAGGTTATCATCTTCGATGGTGACTTCCATGTTGGGTGGCAACAAGTTGGCGAAGAAGCTGTGCATAGCCATGATGAAGATATTCTTTTTGGAATGGAGAATACAAAATTGTGAGCTTTTCCTTGGGTTTTTGGGTAGCTCTTGGATCTTGCGATTTGGAGAGGAGAGTTCGTGTTGGTACCAACTCGCACCAACTAACTACACGCCTCAGCCTTCCTTGTTTTTGTCACGGTACTCAGATTCTGCGTGAGGGCAATTAACATACCGTCCTCATGCTCACATACGGACACTTCACAAAGAAGAAAATTAATTAATGCCAGTCATGGGAACTTGAGCTGAATTCTATGCTATTCTACTCATGAGATCAGACGATCAGACAGCTGATCAAACACCGACTGCTCTAGTATTGCCTTTTCTAAAGGTCATCGAGGCCATCGAGAACCACGTCCTTTGGCAAAATCCGAATTCAAAAATTAGATGGTAGGAATTGCCCATTGGAACGAGCGTTCTTCAAAAGGAATGACGAAGACCACACTTTTATCATCATTAAGTCATGTCCTATTGCATTCTTAACAACTACTCAGCACCTAAGACCCACCAAGTCATACATCGAGTCGCAAAAAGTCTGTGCCTTCGTCAAAAATTGTCTAAATCCGAACTCAAAAAATGAAGGGGAAATTGATCTTGGGAACAAGCGTTCTTCAAACGAAATGAGGGGTTCGACGTTAATTAATTCACACATTTTTAACAGCTTTTCACCCTAAGACCCAAAAGTCATGATAAGATGGCAAAAGACATGGTGGACTCCACAAGAGTGTTTTCATGGGTGGAGAACCGTGCCAGTGCCTTCTTTGTATAGAAACTAAGTCAGCGGGAGCTGCGATACCTCGGCAGAAAGACAGATAGAAGAAGGAGGATTATGTTCAAGATTGCACCCATCTTTCAAGCCAGCCCTGGCGACAGCACCCGACTACGTCGTGTGTTGCCGCCCGGTATCATTCATTCCCTCATTGCAACCTTCTTTTAAGCTAGCCCTGGCGACAACACCCGACTACGTCATGTGTTGCCGCCCGCTACTCTATAATTTACCAGCTGCCATTCCCTTATTGTAACTCTAACCTTTACAACTCCTGCTGGCTTATTGTGCTGTTGTGCTGATTGCACTAACCTTAAATATTAATGATTTATTCCTACCCTAACTTGTATTGAATCATCAATGTTCAGTTTTGTTGGCTTATGACTATCTCTATCCTTATATTTTGGCTTCACCGGAATAGGAAATAGGAAATAGGAAATAGAAAATAGGAAATAGGAAATAGGAAATAGGAAATAGAAAATAGGAATAGGAAATAGGATAGCATTAAAGGGGTTGAGAACTCAGGCAGTTACCTGCCAGAGGTAATGTGATTTCTTTAGTTCGGCTTCTGCCTTTCACTTTCCACAATACTCTTCCATCGAAAGAGGATCACACCGGAACTGGTACATCGTACCAGCGCACTGGTAAGCAGGAGGATACGATATCCAGGCCTTCGTGTACCCTTTAGCCCTCGAGGCTTCAGGCATCTTTCAATTCACTCTTCGCAGCTTTTGTGGTTCACTCCTTCCTCTGCCAAGACCTTCTTTGGGGCCATGTATGGTCCGGATGAAGAAGTGTCCACCGATAAGCATCACAAACAACAATAAGAGATTGGACTGAGGATCTGTTGGACAGGCTTCGGTTGGCTTCCTGCCAATAGCAGAACCACCTGCACCCTGCAATGGAGTGAAGGACGCTATAAGTACTAGAAAGAGATGGTTCAGGCCGCAGTTCGATTGTGAAAAAACTTTTCTACCCCAGTTAAAAAGATTCGGTATTGGGTGCTAGTGCTATTGTGTCGGTACTAGTCTAGAAGGAAGAGACGACAGATGGTGTGAACTGTGAAAGGAATGTGGTTCTTTGGAAGTTAAGAAAGATGATAGATGATAGAACAATAGAGATGAGGAATGATAGAATGCTGGGCCGGCGCTCAAAACATGCTGTGCATTGGCCCTGGGAGAGACTTGCAGCCACTCCAGAGACAAGACGAATAGCAAAGCAGCCAGGCATCGCACTGGTGCACGGACGGGGAAACCACAAAGAGAGACTGAGACATGGGAGATAGATGGCAGATAATTCTTTTGGAGGCACCCAAAGATTCATTTGCCGTCGACCACGGGAAGGTCCACATGCATGCAGTCTTGCCAGACCGCCGGGGTTTTGCGAAAGGAAGAACGGCAATCGAGATGGAGGTCGGAGGATGGAGGATGGCGTCTGACGACTACGAACTCGGAGAAATTGACATCTGGCTGGTCTTCTTGGAAGACCTTTTCGTATTGGGTTTTGCTGTTTTAGGCGCTCCTTTGTTGGTTGGGAGGGATCTTGTTCGTTTCTTCGTCTTGGGGCTCGTCGACTTGTTTGGCGTTGGCTTGGTCGACGACTTCTTTTGTGGCTCGGGGGCCCTTGCAACATGGCTGTCATCCGTCTTCATGCGACGGGTAGGTGGAACTTGACGAATCACGCGACGATAGGATACCGGTGAGTGGTAGCCGTCGTGAGGATGCACCGTCAACAATGGTGGGCAAGGAGGGACGTCCAAACTCATCATCATCATGTCGCCATGATCCATCGATTCCGGGTGCAAGACCTTGGTTCGGCGGTATGGAGAGGCAAATGCATCCGGTGTGACAATTGGTTTGGGTGAAGTAGGTGACCAGTAGTCCATCGAAAGGGAAGCATACGGCAGGGACGTTCGACGGGCGTAATACAGTTCCGACGACTGGTAATCGGGTCTCGTGCTCATGGGCATCTTGGGTGACGACATGTGGATCACTCTCCTTGGGGCGACTAGAGGAGACGAAGGCGACATGTGATCGTCGTGGTCCGGAATAGCCAACTCATAGGGATCGTCGTATCCCGCATACCTGGCGCAAGGCGCGACCACGTCCATTTCTGGTGACAAAAGCATGGGCCGATGGGCCATCGAGACAAAACGACGAGGACCACGACCCCCGTTTGGTGGGAGCGACCGAGTATCCAATGTCACAAAGGAAGGAGGAGGGATCTGTTTCTTCAATTTGGTGCTGTTGTTGCTCGGGAGGCAATGTTCACCCGAGTGATCGTCATGGTCTTCATCAAGATCGTCATGTAGCTGGAGAGTCTCCTCTGGTGGTGACATGACTTTGACACGACGAGGAGCAACGCTCTTGGGGGAGTCATACAAATGATGATCTTCTTCTTCGTGGTTGCTGTGAGCCGCGCTGAGGAGGTCATCGTCGTGCCCATTTGCCAACGACGACAAGACATCATCGTGATGCCTCGAGGGGACGTATTGAAACGAGTTCTCCAACGAAGGATCCAAAGGTTCGTGAAGGGATGCCAGAGACATTTCCTCGTTGTCGCCTTGCCTGATGCGACTTGTAGTTGTCGTCATCGGTGTCACCACAGATGCGGCCGGCTTTTCACCTGGTGGATCCGCGGCCTTTTGTGGCTTGTTTCGAAGCATGGGATGACTCTTGTTGTTGTTCTTGTTGGCCTGCAGAGAGTGAGGACTTGGTGTCATACTCGCCATGATGACCTTGAAGACTTCTTTTCTCTTGGCATCTTCACGCTCCTTCTCGGAAGCATTCATTGCCGGTGTGGCCTTGGTTTTCTTGACCTTGTTTTCGGTTCTGGAAGTGCTGGCTCTCTTCCTCTTCTTGACGACCTTGGGCTTGCTGCTGTCTCGTTTCTTGCCTGTTGGAGTACTCATCATGGTTGGACTCGACGACGACTTGACATTTTCCACAGCAGCCAACGGTTGTTCCAGAGCAGCGGATGGTGGTTTCTCGACAGCGGCGGGCTTGTCAGGAATCGATGCTTCTGATGGCTTTTCAAGAGCCGCCATTAAGGGCTCTTCGGCTTGGAAAGGAACGGGTGGCTCGACAGAGAGTTCCTCGGATCGAGACGGAGGATCTTGCACCAAGTCATCTTGCCACATGGAATCCGTGAGCAACTTGGGCAACATGGGAGAACCCACACAAGAAGGAAGGGTGGTCACCGGTGCGACCACGCGTTGTGGACTGGAAGGTGCCGTGATAGGAGTTGGTTCGGGAGTCACAGCAGCGGCCACTGGTTCTTGCTGATGAGTGGGGGTTGGTGCTGTGGTGACTCGCTTCTTGAGGGGCTTCATCATGGCAACAGAGGCTGCCGCCATTTTGCGTTTCTTGGGTGCCGGAGGACGTCGGGTTCCCATGTGATTGAGAAAGAGACAGTTGGGACGCTTGCGTCGACGCAAGGGAGGGAGGCTCTTGGGCAAGTGCATGTAGGGCCGGAGACGCTCTTCCAATTTCGCCAGGAGTTGTGCCTGAGTGAGCTGGGCCAATTGTGCTCGCTTACGTTCCAGAGCATGTGCCACAATGACATGGGCCGAGAATCGTACGGATTCGGGCTCTTCCTGATCATCGCGACGGATCATCTTGGGGGCTTCGGTTGGGGTATCTGTAGGAGTAGATGACAAGATTGCGTCATCCGAAGTGGGGGCTTGCGGGACTTGTTCCTTCTGCAGCTCCTCGTCTCGAGCGGCCTCCTCGGCCGCCAATTCGAGGAGGAACGGATCTTCTTCTTCTGTGGGTAGAACAATGTCGCTAAAGGCAATGGTGGAGTCATCATCGTCGTGGCTAGTAGCCCCAATAAAGAGACCATCATCTTCGTCGTCACCTCCTTCCACCAAGTGGATCTCTTCGTCTTCCGTGTCTTCCGAAGTCGTGTTGGTGGGGGACCAACCGTCGCCGCGAGCATAGCTGTCATCTCGTACCAATCCTGGTGGATCTTTCAGAGGCTGATGACGAGAATCCCACTGCTGGAGATTTTCCTCTGTCAAAGTTTCCTGAGGAATCATGATTGCTACTTCAATAAGGTGCTGTTGCTTGTGAGCTTGGTCTGAAAGACGAATTGAATTGTGAGAGGCTTTCAGCAACCAAGGAACAAGAGTAAAGGTTTGGTGGAGGAAGGGATGAAGGTTCCAGAGTAGTAACAGCTCCCAATGGATCAATCCACAGTTGCACAGTGGCCAATGATGAAGGCGAAGGTCGACGCAAGCAAGCAACACAGGAAGGAGAGGAAAGGATACCAAACAGTATCCAACCAGCGAACGAAAGATCCTCTGTCTGTGGTTTACAGGAGCCAACAAGTCAAGCAAACAAACCAACAAGCCTTGATGATGTTGATGCTGCGTTCATTCCGGATGGCACACTGGGCAAAAAAGTGCGATCGAGGCATCCTCAAAAGGTTTGGATATCCAAATTGGATCCTCATTTTTGTTGCCCAGCAGCCGTATACTCTACCTTTCTCCGGTACTACAAGCCCTCCACCATTTCGAGTTTTTACACATGGGCTCCTACCGACTCCACGCAATGCCCTACAGATATCACTCAGGAGGTCGAGGTTGGGCGCAATTTAGATTTGTTCTAGCTATCCGAAGAGAGCGAAAAAAGTGAGACGGTGCAGCCAAAGCGTGGGAGGATTTGGGCCGCCTACTGATTTACTATAGGACAGAAGGGGGCATTGGCCATTAATTACCATACTCACAAGTATGAGGTGTAAATACTTGTCACCCCTCGCTGGTTATTCCCAAGCTTTAGACGAGAAAGGGGAAGAACTAATTGCGCCTCTGGCTTCTGGCTATCCCAACCACTCTTCAAAAGTCAATTGTTGCAGTCTTGCTGCCCTGACTGAGAAAGGACGACACTGGCTTCCTACTAAAGCGACCCCATAGGAACACTATTATTTTCGGGCATTCGTCATCCGACCCTGCCAATCTCATCGTCCTCTCATTTTTACAGCACCAGCCATTTCGGATAACTCAACTCAGGTGTCACTCCACTGAGTAGGCCTTTGGCCTCTACCAATACGTAGTACTCCAATTCAAGAATCGAGCATTGGCATTGGGCTGGATTGCGGCCTAACTAAGTACGTGCGAATGACAAAGCAACATGGTAGAGGTATACCATACTGGAGCTACTACGAAGCAGCCAATCTTCTTCGGAGCCAGCCATGCATCGATCCTCCAATCATGAAACCATGCGTCACTCGCTTCTTGAAGATAGTATGCCTCTATGTCTATAGTAGAGCCATGCATCTGGATGAGGAATAAAACCCGCCCTACAGTCGGCTATTTACACGAGGGATTACGCACTCCTACCATACTACAGTATGCCTACTAGGCAGCCAGCTAGCAATCATGCGCCATACCCACACTAACAGTAAGCCAGCCAAAAAGCAGGCCAAGTAAACAGGTAGGGCTTCCCATGAAGCAACAAGCTGGCTGGTAGCCACTGGCGTTGCTGCCACGACACGGCCATAGTGTACCACCAGCCAGGGGCCCAGCCACACGAGCAAACCATTGTCTCGCTCCGATAGCCAGAGGTCGAGAGGATGAAAAAGCTCTTGCCAACTACGGTACTACATACCAACTACTGAGTAACTACTAGTACCACTAACTACCGACCACCAGTTCCTTGGGTTCTTGCTTCTTCCCCTCCGCTTCTTCGCTACTTTGCTACTTTGCTGGACAAAAATAATGCCTGTAAATTTTCGGATGGTTGACTTGGCTGCCTGTGTGCTGCAGGAGCGAGAATGCCGTGGCAGCCAAGTCAATTCGATTCGATTCACGCAAAAGAAGCTCGAGGACCGGTTGACTCGGAGCAGTTCCCAAGGCTGTCAAAACATAGATACATCTAGCTACATACAGAGGGATAGAGGAAATCTCAGGAAAGCTTGCTACTAGCTAGCAAGGATCAATAAGCAAGCAGCTCGTGTGTACTATGTACCAAAATAGTTAGTTTGGTTTTTTAAAAGGCTCCTATTTCGCTAGTGGGGCTGCAGTAGTGGAGCCGAGGGGAATGAAAAGAAGCACGTCAGACCTGGTGGAACCAAATAAACAAGGAATCCAAGGAAGGCGTCGCACCATGCACAGTGACTCTCCAAAAGCAACCGAGTACAACCGCCAGAAGCGACCCAATTGGCTAGCTTGCTCTGCTAGCAAGACTGTTCGATTGCTTCATGCTAGCCCCAGGGCGAAGTCCTTTGATGGTTCCTTACAAAAGAAGGGAAGCGCATCAACTTGATATAGCTACTTCTGTTGCATTATTAGGAAGAAGCCTTGAATAGCTGCTTGCATTGGTGAGTGCTGTCCATCCAAGACGGAAAAGATGCAGTGTCTTTTTGTTTGCTTTGATTGGATCTTTTTCTCGATTTTTCTCTTGGCTCTTGAATTTTGTGAGCAATCGCCGGTCAGGCGAGATGCTGGCGTCAATTAGAAATGAGCCATGTGTCGTTGGATTGGCTGGCGTGCATGGAAAAGGCTTCGCTTCATGGGGGCGGTGGAGCCATCAACAACAGTGAGAGCGAAAGATCCAAGTCATCTCCATCGTCATCGTCGTCGTCCTCATCAGACAACATAGCCGTCGCATAGAGAGTTTCGCAGTAGACTAGTCACAAGGAGAAGAGCAACAAGAGGCGTCGGTTGTGGTTGTATCTTGAAGGTCTATAGCCAGCTAGCCAGGTGGAAGGTGCAGGTCTGGCAATAGTGTGCACGTCTCGTCGCACCACAGCAACGACAGTCGCGAGAGAAGCCCAAGAAGATCCATTCGATCCATAATTTTGTGAGAAGCACCGTGTTGGTTGTCATCCTTCTTCCTCTTTGAAACAGAAGCTACTGGTTTGTTACGGTTTAGCTGCGTTTGCAAGACCACAAACAACACCATCGACAGACAGTCCACGAATCAAGAGTGTCCACTTTACTTCACTTGCTCCATTCATTGCTTACTAGCTAGCCAGTCAAGACGATGCCTCCTTCCAACCGCAAGCGCAAAGTCGGCGACGACAAGGAGAGCAGTACCGCTAGTAGTAGCAGCAGCAAGCCTCGGAAGAAGGAGACGCAACGAACGGTGCAAAAGGCTCGCGTGTATTTTCGCGCTGGTTTCATTTCCCAAAATCCTGGCAAGGAAGAAGACTTTGACGAAGCCTGGAACAATTGGATGGCCACCAAAGGAGATCAACCAGCGGATGAATTCCCGGGAGTTCCGGGATATGGTAGTCGACAACCCGCTTCCAAAAAACGCAAAACTAGCACTACTGCTGCTAGTGCCAAAAAGACAACCCCTGCCAAGAAAACACCCACGGCAGCCGCTGCTGCCCCTACACCCGCTGCTGCAATGGGGTCTCGTTCCCCCGATACGTCGTCTCGCAAGCAACAAAAAGAACCAGGATACAAGGAGCGGGCTCGAATGGCCATGAAAAAGGATTCTTCCGCCAAAAAAGCAGCCACACCACCACGTCCTGCTGCAGCTGCTCCCAAACGCAATGCCTCACCAGCCGCACGAAGCACACAGGCCTATCGAACTCGCCGCACACCCGCCAAGAATGAGGAGGAGGAGGAACCAGCCGAAGACACACTTCCAAAACCTCCCACTCGATTCCCCAAAACGGCAACTCCTGAAACACAAGCGCCAGCAGCAGCAGCAGCCACTGGAGGACCTGCATTCCGGGCGGTGCCTGTTGTGGAAGACCCTCCTCGACCAGAACACACTGAGGACGACGATCGCCATGACGATGAAGTGGACGACGAAGAAGAAGTCCATGTCAAGTACGAAGACGAAAATCACCATGATGATGACGTCCAAGTGGAATATGACGACGATGTCCAAGTCGAGTACGAAGATGATGAGACTATGAGTTGGCAGGAACGTTGGGAAACTCTTCAGCCACTCCTTCGAAAGCTCTTTTTGGTACTGGGAGTTCCCTTACTAGCTCTAGCTGTTCTCATTTTTGGGGTCGGACGATACAACCCCAAGTCGCAAATGTGGATGATTGTAGGACATACTCGTCGACACTGTTCCACCCACACTGTCTTGTTGGGATCGCCGTGTCGTGCCACGGATCCATCCAATCCGTACATTGTCACGGACGCCATTGACTTGGGCGTATTGCAGCAACAACAGCGCTGTTACCATGACTCGCCACAGCATGTTTTGGATCACGATGATGCCCACCAGAATAATGCTCCCGCCAAAATGACAGACCAGCATTGTCCCAATGGGTTCATCCAGTGTCCATCCAATGCCATTTGCTACAACGGACACCTTTTGGATTGTCTGGCTCCTGCGTGGGTCATGTACGACAACAAGAATGACAACGACAACAAGAAACCTCCGCTCTGTGTCTTGAGTCAAGCCGTCAACAACACGTACATGGACCTCGTCAGTTTGATTGAAACTTGGTCGGTACAGCATTTGTGCATGATACGCACCGAAGGGCCCGTGCCGCAATCATTTTACATGCAACAGCAGCCAATCAGCTCTAAGGAAGCCTCGGTCGTTGTCAAGGCAGACGATATGGGAAATTCCGACAATGGCGTGCCCTTGTATCCATGGTCCACCATCTATCGCATGATTGATCAAGACGAATGGGATTGGAAACTATTGCAGACGGCCAATGATGCACACAAAACACAACTCGTCTTGGAAGAGGACAGTCTCTCGGTCGGACTCACAGCGCATCGATACAATCTAGTCCAACGCAGCAAATTACCCATGCCCTGCAAAGTCCGTCGGGGACTCTTTCAAATCTTTGAGTGGGTCGGACGTCTCGGCTGGAGCATTGGGGCGGGCATTCTCTTTACGATTTATTCCATCTTCAAGGCATTTCCCATCATGTCCATTGTCACAACCTTGATTCTCGGTGGAATTTCGTATTGGCGTCATCGGCGGGCGACACTAGACCGACAACGAAAGCTGGTCAACATGGTGCGTCACGATGTTCTCCGCTATTTGCAAACGGCGTGGAACAAGCCTCCGGGGGTCGATTTGCAACAGGGTGAAGTGGCCGTCATTCAAGTCCGCGACGAAATCGCCGACCGCATGTACGATGGATACTACGAAGACGAGAAGCGTCAGGACTTTTTGCTTCAAGTTTGGCCCATTGTGTGCCTCCAAATCAGTAAAGACAACCGCGTCCGAAAAGTATCCCGTGTCATTGATGGCAGCCGACGTGCCTTGTGGATCTGGACGGCGCCTCCTGCTGGTGAAAACGCCATGCAGTCGTAACTACTTTGTCATGTACGTACGTGTCAAGAGTGGTCTTTTTGGATGGCACAAACAAGTCTATGGGGAAAGACCCAAACAGCCCAGCCAGCAGCGCACTTTGGTTTCATCGGGCAGGGATGGTGCTGAGAGCGCATTGCTTGCTGGGTAGTTTGGCTCGGTCACAAAAATGGAAGAAAAGCAACGGTTTGGGGAATACACACGTGTAGTTGTTTGGTTGTTTTGGAGGCATGGCAAATAAGGTATCTTCTCCGTTCAGGGAGTGCGGGGGTGTTGGAGCTTCTCAACCACCCTCCACGACACCGCACTAGCTAGCTCGCCTGTAATCAACTAACTAAAAAGGAATATGTTTTTATGACGCTGTAAAGTTCCACTTGCTAGCTACTAGAACCTCTATCAGAAGCTCACTTTGCGGTGCGTCATCAGAGCGCTTTTACCGCACTGCAGTAACCTCTAGGGTACTAGAGACTGGCCAGCTACCGGTAAGGGTCCATTCCAAGACCCGCCATGGTCACTCCATCACGTTGAATTGCAACCAATCGACATGAAACCACATCAACCACACCTTCTCAATTACAACAATATGATCTACACCATCCTTTAGTAACAAAACTTCGACTCGAAGTCATGTTCATTACTGGCTAATACTGCATAGGCAGAAGCAGGCCTACTAGCTAGGTTCCCGAGATAAGTGGACAAGAGTTCCACATTCTTCAGAGACGTCAGAATGGAGAAAATGGGTGTGAAGTTGAAACCATCGTCGCTGTTGTGAGACCATCCACTGCATGAGCAGAACCAGACTTTGTCAGGCTCGGCAAGAACATTTTCCTCCTGTATAGCCGCCCATGCGTTGCAGTGGCCCGTACAGAGATGATGAGACGCTCAACCTTGGAGTCGTCAAGCCAGTCGTCGCCCAGTTCAAATCTCCAACTGGAACCCACAAAAGCTCTCACTGGAACCCTCAAAGCTATAGAACAATGGTACTAACACGAAGAACTCTGTCTCTTTCTCCACTGCTCGAGAATAGGCTAAGCTTTGGGGCGAACCTGGATTGTCCAGCCACTCTGGCATGGCCAGACCGAAAAGGATCGGGGGGTCAATTGGTGCGATGAAAGGAATCACTCTTGGTCGTCTTGCGACGCAAATTTTCGGCATCACGAGTGAGCGCGTAGATGAAAGAATGGAGCAGTACCGGTCGTGAACAGGAGGGCACAAACAGAGATGGCGAAGCCGACTCTTTGTCAGTGTCTTTCTTGTCCTCATTTGATTGATTCCCGTTGCGGGGCTGCTTAAAGATCAATTATTGAGATAGCAAGGCCGTGGACTGGTTCTGTGACAATGTTTTGATCCCACAATGAGACTTCGGTGGAGCTTGGCGTTGGTTCACTCTAAATGGAGGTATCCGTCCACAGCGAAGGATACTGAAGATCCCTCACAACCTGCTCTATAACCATCCTCAGCGACAAGCTGACACCATGGGGAGAAACCAACATCACGTATCGTCTTCCGTCGCTCAAAGAACCTTTCATCGTGGACGTCAACAGTAGCAAATGACTTCCCAAGTGGATGAACAATCCGGCATGCGTCTCAGAATGAACCACCAAGAAAGACAAGTGCAACTCTCATCGTCGTCGAAATTCGGCTTGAGATGAGAAGATGACGTGCCCTTGCCGTGTGCCTGCAAATGAATGCCTTCCAATGTCTTGTGCGTCTTCATGTGTGTGCGCTCGGAGTTGATAGGCAGTTCTACTGCTAGCTAGCAGTAGAGCTATCGTCGCCGTCGCCACCCTTCTCATCGTGGAGCAAAGAGGAATATCACTGCCGCTCATTCCATCGTGGCAAAAGTCCCTTCGCCGTTGTTTTAAGCCACCGCCCTGCCTATCATAGTGCTGACTTCCGACGCTCGAATTCGAAACACGTAAAAACTTCTCCACTTCTCCCATCGTGGAGCTCGTTGATGCTCTACATCTACCCTTGCTTTGAGACCGTCAGAAAAGCTTGTGAGACCATTCTAGCTGGCTAGTGTGGTACCATAGTGGTTTCAACAGTACACTTGTGTACCGGTAGTGGAAGGGAGAGGAAACGGCCGATGGTTGTCCCCATGCCCTTCGAGAAAGGTGCAAGAGCAAACTGTGTCTCACAGCTAATTCTCTCAGTCTCCTTTTTCGCCGTCATCTCCCAGGAAGAAGAGCTCGCGAGTTAAACCATTGCCCACTACATGTCTACATGTATTCGATTCGAGTCGTGGATAAATCAGAATCCTAATTAATTTTTGGAGCCACCCTAATCAATTTTTGGAGCCGCTCCAAAAATTGATTAGGGTAGCTCCAAAAATTGATTAGGATTCTGATGTATCCACGACTCGAATCGTCATTCGTCTGAAAGGCTTTAAGTCTTCACATTGGGGTTCTATTTTACACGAAGAGCTCATGAAGAATATTAATGAAGAAGGAGAAAAGGCGACAAGGAGCATTGATGCAACCAACCTAGTGGATGGTAGAAAGAAGAAGTCTAGCGCTAGACTTGGAGCAGCAAACACAATCGCGGCAACCTTCCTCCAGTATCTTCAGGTTTCATTTCGTACCCAGTCCAGCGACCTACGTTCAACCAACCTATCATAGCATCAGGTGTCATAGACGGTATCATATATATCATGTCTCCTATTACGGAATCTTCCGCCACTCGCATTCGGTACAACCAAGACGGTACTCGGAGACAAGGCAAGCTATTGACTCTTCAAGGTGTTACCAATAGGAACGTGGACGGTCAAGTAGAGATTGATCATGGGTATCTCTATGTTCACGTCGCATCCTTCCTGGCTTGGAAGCACGCGCAGGAACGCAATGGGGTCATACTACCCTCTCTGCCACAAGTCCTGGGTGACTGCGATTTCGATTGGTCCTTGGAATCCAGAGATACCCAGTTCTCTCCTGTGCATGGAGTACGAGCCTTGGTCGCAGCCACCACCGATCCAACACCCAAAGTGACTCATACTCACAACAACAACAACTATACCCATACCCATGCTACTGGCAACTATACCCATACCCATACCATGACAAGTCCTGAAGCACAACCGCAAGCAGAAGAAGACTGGCAAATGCCCTTTGGCATTGTGGGGTCCGTCTATTCCAGTGTCACGCTACCAATAACGGCGTTTGGACAAGGATTCAGTCTTCCTCAAACCAGCGGCGGAGCCATTAGTGGAGCGTTGGAATCGGCGCCCTTTTTCAGTCGGACCATCCCCACCAGTGTGGCCGATGCCAGGGCCGTCATGGCGTACTATCACAGTCAAGGTGTCAGTCATATTGGATGCATCCATGTCAAGGATGCCTGGGGGAACTATTTCAATACCGATTTGCAAATTGAAGCCAAAAAATTGGGGATTAGCATTGTCAGCTTTTCCTATGATCTCAATAATCGAGAGAGTATACTGTCGGCCCTGGAGCAACTCAAAGACACGGGCCGAAGGCATATCTTTGCCATTATGTTTGATTGGAAAGCCATCTTGGAAGTGGCGTTGGATCTTGACATTATTGGGAATCCAGACTATGCATGGATTGGGGCCGCCATGATTGACTGGACGTCTCCCCAATTGCAGTTTAATCGGCACAATCCCAAGGAACAACGATTGGCACAGGCACTGAATGGAGTGGGATCACTGGTAGTCGATGGAGGCTCCAACACGACCGCCTTTCACAGTGTCATGCGGGAGTTTGCCAACAATCCAGCATTGCAGCAAGAGTACATTCAATCCTATCCACCAGAAGAACAGCACATGTTTGACAACTTTACCTTTACAACACCCCCCATTGATCAGTATCAGAACTTGTTCTATGATGCCACATACAGTCTGGCCATTGCCGCATGCCAGACACCGGGGCTGTTCTCCGGGGAAGACCTCTATCAAACCTTGATCAATCTAAAATTTGAAGGCGTCACGGGTCCCATTGAGTTTGACAACATCACGGGCACCCGAAAACCACACACCACCCGCATACGGCTGGACAATGTGTTTTGGAGCGAGGAACGATCGGACGACAACTACATTCGATTCGAATCGCGGCTGGCGGCCATGGCCACACAAGGCACACTGGAGCACTACCATCCGTGGATCTATAATGACAATACCACCAACATTCCTCCTTCACTTCCTCCCTTTGATCATGATTACAACATGATGCCTTTGGCTGTTCAAGTCATTGGATGGCTCCTGGGTGGATTTGTCATTTGCTTGAGCTTGATCATGATTGGTTGGACCTGGAAGAATCGAAAAATTTATGTGGTCCGAGCGGGACAACCACAATTCTTGTCGCAACTTTGTGTGGGGACGCTGCTCATGGCACTGGCAGTCATCCCCATGAGTGCACAAGGAAAACACAGCAATCCCCGCTTGGACATGGCATGCATGACATCTCCATGGCTCATCTGTCTGGGGTTTGTGATTGCCTTTTCGGCATTGTTCTCCAAAACCTGGAGGCTCAATCAACTCATGAAGTCAGGCATGTCGATGAAAAGAATCACTGTAGAGGCCAAGGATGTGCTTTGGCCCTTTGTAGGTCTCGTGACAATCAATGTGGCCATGTTGCTGGGATGGAGTATTGCGTCCCCACTCAGATATACCCGTGTGGAAGCGAGCAACAATGTGGATGAATATGGGAGGGCTCTGGAATCCTATGGCCGATGCCAAAGCCAAGACACTACCTATGCCTACTTTTTGATCCCAATGCTGCTATTTGATCTTCTTGCTGTGTTGGGAGCAACCTACCAAAGCTATGTGGCCCGCAATCTGCCGACAACACTTTCGGAATCTTCCTATCTTGCTCTGGGCATGGCCAGTCTCTTGGAATCCCTCCTGCTAGGTGGGCCAATCTACTTTACAGTGGTGGACAATCCCACGGCATCCTACTTGGTTGGATCTGCACTTTTGTGTATCATCAGCCTTACTATTCTACTTCCAGTTTTCCTCCCCAAGTATCTTCATCGCAAACAATCAGGATCAGGTCGACCTGGGACTTTGGTTTCCACGCTAGACATTCCCAGCGCCCCTGTTTCCACCCTGGCAAGACAAAATGGTGTAGCAGATCTAACCGACGCGTCCACCCGCAGCACCCCATTTGGTTCTCACGAGTCCAAAGCAGGGTTCATGTTTATTACGCGAATTCATGATACTCCTCCGATTCCAAAGAAAGGGAACGGCCGACCCCGTCATGGTAGTACCGTTCCTGCCTCCAAAACGGGGCCGATGGACGCATCATCACAAGCAAACGAAACAACGTTTACCAGACCGTCGCAACAACCAGAGACCAAGTCAAAAAGAGAAAATCATCTCGACATGGGCGTTCACACTGTTTGAGGGGGTGGGCTTCAAAACCTCTAGTCGATTTGCCCACAGTTACGCTTTGTATATTAGATAACCTGTCCTGTTACAGTAGATCTTGCATTACACACTACATGGACATCTAGCTAGCTAGCTCAGGTCTTGCTTTTCCAGCTATGGGTACGAATGGCTCTGGAGGATACTTGTACGTGTCTGTAGCAATTGGTGGCTTTAGAGGGTACGGGTGGCAAAGGTTGGCTCTGCGGATCTGAAAGCCCACCAGAGAGAACAACGAAGATCACCCTTCTTGTAGGATACCGTGTCGACAGCGAACAGATTTCAAGCTTGCAGCTTTGCTTGGTTTAGAATGCCAAGTTTATTTTCGGTTGGAAGAGGAAAAGAAGACACAAGACGCTCATCTTGACGCCAAGCGTTGGCCACTGGTAGTCGCTGTTCCTACGTCGAATATGACAAAGTGAAAGGCGAAGGAGGCTTTCACGGCCAAGTCCTTACTAGAACCACGGAAACCAGAAGGTTTGGGCAGGACCCGAAAGGACCTAGCGGTCAAGAGGGTGGCTTTTGCTTCTGGGCGTCCAGTTGAGGCTGAGAGACGCAGCTCGCCACTGCTATCGGAAGCTGGAAGAAGACGAGCGACCTTCAACTGAATGAGGGTTGAGATGGGCTTCTTTGGCGACGTTTCTGGGCGAGCGACTTTGCTTCAGTTGCAACAACACCTGCCTTCTCTCTTGGTTGCCTTCGAAAGAACCGACAAGCGAAGGTCCCAAAATACAACCGCTTCGGGGCGCCAGGCTTGGTTAGAGAGAATGCGAGGCATCGTCAAGATCCTTCGCCGTGGATGAACGCCTCATTGCAGAGTGCTGAACCAACACTAACCACCATAGTGTCATTGCCCGGTCAAGACCTTGTGGAGGCTAGTATTCTCGTTGCCGCAGAACCAGTCTATACTATACGGCCATAAAAGCTCAACTAATCATGAAGCATGAAGCAGCCCAGCAACGAGAGTCCACCAAACGAGGACAAGAGAGACACTGTCAAAGAGTCGAGTCGGCTTCACCATCTCTGTTTGTGGCCTCATCTTCGTGTCCTGCTCCCGTGTTTTGATCTACGCGCCACGGATGATACCATATTTGTGACGCAAGCAACAGGCAGCGCACGCATGCAGCTTGACTCCTTTCATCGCACCATTCGACTCCGAGCCTCGAAATAGATGCTTCCTCTTTGAGTGCGGTGCTTCTCATTTGCGGAAGCGGATGCATTTGCTGCTTAGTGGGCAGTATTAGCCAGAAAGGGATACGACTTCAAGTGCAGCTCGCTCAGTGCCGAGCAACGACGAAGCAAGCATTCCGTGAAGTACCGGTACCGTACGAGACGTCAAGCTTTCCAAGCCCCGAGCACAATGTGCGATGAGGAGAGCAAGAACTGGGTCCAGGCGAGCCCGCGAGGATGACAGCAGAAGGACGATACGAAAGTCGCACCCGAATCGAATGATCGTTAGTCGAACCGCTGTCCCAGCCAACAGCAATCGTCGATGAGAAGTCGTCGAGGAACATGGATGCTGAAACCTTGGAGATCACGTTTTCGTCCTCCCTAAGTTGCAATCTTGCGTCTCCGATGGCGACGACGAGAGATCGGAGCTAAAGCGAAGAGCAACGTCAATCGAGCCATTCCACCCAGGCTCTTCCTAAGCTCGCCGAGAAACCAGCAGGAGGACGAGGGCCTCTGCTGCGGATTGGTTCCAGCAAGACTTGGCTCCGTCCTCCGTCCATCGAGCATGAGGAGCGACGGCAGTTCATTGGAGGGGCCGCCAAAAGGTTCAACTTCCACTCATCAACAAGTGCTCCGGCAACTGAGGAATTTGTCGATCGCGTCGCCAGGCTTGTGGCCATGAGCGAGCAACGACGATCACCCCCAGCCACGAACCCGTGTCAACGCAACAGTTGTCAACTACTGGGCAATACTCAGTAGCTATTAGATGCAGCATCCGTTTTATCAGGCTCAATGCCATGCGAGGACTGATTAGCTAGCTAGCCTGAGTGGCTGAAGGACTCGGAGCCCTCGAGATCTATAGACAGGGCAACGTGGCCTATTCAAACGAGGGAATTAGCATCGAAAGGGAATCAAGAAAGGCTCAAGAAAGTCTCCTTAGAGGGCGCATCGTCAGGCACGTACGGTACCTCACTTTGTGTCAAAGACTTCTTTTGGCCAGCGATGTTGCCAGGTTGGAGTCAAAGTTTGAAATTAGCTAGCGCATGCTAGGGCACGTTCCCCCTCAGTACATCACCAAAGGGTTGGTTGGGACTGTCCTGCTTGAGGCTGCTCGAGCTGTTTGGCAGTTCCTTTGTTCCTTTGTTTTCAGTCATCCTCGGCCCGTTGAACTATCGAGTTCGGCGTTGTCGGCTTCAGTTGCCGCAGCATCTCCAGATCCCGGCAACCCTGCTCTTGCTTGTTCCGAGACCGCAAGGATACAATAAGGTTGATAAGATCCCTTCTTGAAACTTGATACGAAGGTAGCAAATAATGCTGTTCTGGGCAATTCGGTTAGTCCACAGCCTCGTGGACTACTATAAGAGCGGAGGCAATAAGATGGGGGAAAAGAAGGGAGTCCGAATAAGACTACTTCCTTGGCGGTACGGCATTGAGCTTTTGAGTGGTTGAACCATTTGAATTCTTTATTTACTACTAGTAGTACTCAATACTCTGGAGTGGCTATGATAGCTCTAGCAGCTGCTCTAGCTACCCAATACCTAATGTATTGCGGGTTTTCCGTTGTACTCCTGGTTGGCTACTAGGAGATCTTGACTGGATGCTAGCTAGTAGCTGGTAGCGGTAGTTCATACCGGTAGGTGGTACCGGTACCGGTACGGTACAGCCTCGTAGCTTGGTACAGTATTTTAAATATCATACTATTAATAGTCTAGCTAGCTAGCTATTGCTATGGCTAATAGCTGCGTGAAAAGAAAATTTGCTGAAAGATCCAGCTGGATCCACAGTGTCTGTAAACTAGACACGTGCAGCCTAGGAACAGGCCTTCGTTCTTCAATACGGTACTTCCCTGGAGGTTAAACCACATTAAATTGATCTTGAAGCTGAACCAAGCAAGATAAATATAGATTTAACATTCACGACTCCAAATAATCTGCTCTTTCCTTATTGATTTATTGACGAGCAGTACCGGTTTGGCATTGCAGTACCGATACCGTAGCACAGTAGGAGTAGCTAGCAGAGTGCAATGCAGTACTCTAGCTAGTAGCTAGCTCTTAAAACACTAGTAGTCTAGCTAGTAGTCTCAGTCTACATTGTACTGTAGGACCAATCAGCCACCAGTACCAAACTCATGCATCAGATTCTCTCAACTCTCAAGTCTCCCTCAAGTCTCACGCTTCCAAAGCGCACGGTACCGTACTATCATACCGGTAAGCGTAAGCTTCTGAGCGCACAAGCTGTTTCTTCTCCACCATCTTTTACATTATTTAAAAGCCAATCTACTAGAGCTTCTTCTATATCTCACCTCAGTGAAACTTGGCCCTTGGCTGTAACCTGGCCAAGACAAGAACAATCTATCATTTAAATGGTCGCTTGATTTTCTTCACCGGGACTGTCCATACCTCGCAATAAAGGAATCGTACATTTTTGGGGTCCGGCAAGAGATAAAGCGCGACGAACCCCATTCAATTTTTCTGCTATCTGATTCCTGGTACAACAAATGTCCTTTGTACGTGAAGGGGTCCTCTGCAAAGTTGCATACAACGTTTTTCGGTGGTGAAATCTGCGACAATCTGCGGCAACTCAACGGTGGCTGGGGCTTGTGCAGCCTGAAACAGCTTGAAGCAGCTGAGGTTCCGAAATTTATTTCAAAACTAACTGGCAAAATGTAATGCAGCTTGCGCATGCATTCTTGTTCATAGTCTTGCACTTGGCTTGTGGCTTGGGGTCCGATATGGGCTATACTCCCGGTAGCAAACACGTCAGCACCCATCATACTCCATCAGCTGGAGTGGATAGAGTCGGAAAGCGCATCAGCTAATCCTTCAGCTCTCTTCTCACAATTCTAAAAACGAGAAAGCTAAAACCTCCACAACTTACACAACCGCACCACCAACTAACAGTAACTAGCCACCATGACTATCGCTTCTTGCTCTTCCTTCCACACCGTTTCCAGCGCTCTTTTGGAACGCCGCGACCAGCAGCAAGATGAATCCCTCCCTCGAGTTGTCTCTTGGCCCTTTATGACTGGCAGCACCCAAGAAGAAGAGGCTGCAAGAAGATCCGCGCAGCAACCTGGAGAGAGCCCTCGCATGCATCTCTCCCGGGTACTCGATGAAGCTCTTGCTCTGCTTGATGAAGAGGATTTCTTTGGTGCTGACGATGATCTATTCAATGATGACCAAGATGAAGATTCTCTGGCGGATGAAGAAGACGAAGATGCCATGATTGCCAGAGCAATGGAATCAGAAAAGACTCGCAACCAGGCAAACCAAAAGCAATAGGCGCCCTCAGCCAACTGGCACTATTTTTCATATCATAAGATGCATGTACTTTATAGAATTGGTTATTATTTACACATGAGCTAAGGTAAACTTTCACCCAAGTCAAACCCTATCTTTACCCTGGCTAGTACCCATCAGCAACCATGCAAGGAAGCAAGCTACGCTCCAAGCCTGATTGATTGCTTGCCTTTGGTCTGGAAATTCCATCTCAAGAGCCAAAAGCCCATTGGTAGATCAGCCCAGACTTGATTCCGCAAGGAAGCAGCTTGTGCCAGTAGATCTGGACCTGGTAGCTGCAGGTCTGCATTGCTTGCGGCTGCTGTATCCAGGCTTGGCTGAAGATCAAGGGTGATCCCAAGAAAAGAACCAGAGTGATCTAATGAACCACGTCAGAGCGCTTGTACCAATTCACCCATCACAATACTGTAAGTAATAAGTAAGAACTACTGCAAGACGAAACTGGGGTTCCCTCAATCCGAACTTCGACGCCTTACGTGGGTGGAAAGCGTCGCCAAAAGAATCTTTCAACCTTCCAGGACTTAGTAAAGAGATCCCTCAATGGTCAATTCAAAATATGACGCGTTACGTGGTGAAAAAGCGTCGCCACAGGATTCTAAGAACTAATATTGTTCATACCGGTATGAGTGACTGTAAGAGCTCCGGTATATCAATTTTACTACAGTACCAGAGTATACCGGTGGCAGTAAAAGCCCTCTTTAGTGTCAGTGGAAAGGGAACTACCCGGAACCCTTCTATTCATCCTCTTAAATCCGCTCTTTTCTCTTAAAGAAAAATCAAAAATTGTCTTTCATTTCCCTTTGAATCTTCCCCTCTCGTAAGAGAAGCATTAGGATAGAAAAACAAGAATGCTTTCGGTTGAAAAAGCAGGACTTAAAATATTAATGGAGGGGCAATTCAATTCCTTCACATGTATACCGGTACCACTCACTTTCATGGCTTCATGGATGACAATGTTCCTACTGGCTGCATGTAGTAGACAAGAAGGTAAGGCATGCATGATTTTCAGGAAGGTGCATGCAAAAAGCTATGCAAAATCTGTTTTGAGCCTATGCAGAGCCTAGCTAGCCAGGCACTGTGGGCAGTTTGGTCATTGAAGTCTCTAAATCCTCCGTCTTTTTTGGTCTGGAGAGCTAGCTAGGAGATGGTTATTGGGAATCAACTCGATTCAAAAAATCGTCGATGGTTGTCTTGCCTCTCGTGCTGGTCAGAAATCCTCTCTCGATTGCAGTCCATACGTTTATACCAGTCCATAAGTTAATACCAGGATCGGTACATGTAGTGGGATTGAGCCAGTGGTTGAAAACCTGCATGGCCCACCGGTACGTCCTCCCTGATCGCCTCTTGGCGCGGCATGGTGTTCTGATGTTACATCTCTGATCTACTGAGTACCCGGCTTTTGATCCTCTTGCAGTCGATACTTATACCACCGGTAGCTCCACCGGTACTGGGATTGGGCCATTGGTGCGTTGCTTGAAGCAAATAACCTGCACGGTCCACCGGTACGTCCTCCCTGAGCGCATCTTGGCGCGGCATGTAGTCCTGTTACAGCTCGGATCTGCCTGGCTTTTGCTTGTCAGAGACAACCCTGTGGCTGCACATCCTGACCAAGAAAGCAGGGCACAACGGAAAGCAACCCGGCGACGTGGGTGACACAGCAAAGTGGTACTGGTGCGATCCCATTGAAGCTTTGCATCCCTGCTCGTGCGAAGATTGCATCGTGTCTGTTAGTGCAAGCAAGAAAGAAGCAATCCCACTGCCAGATCCTAGATACAACGGACCCTTGAATGCCTAAGTGGTGCGGGGTGTGGAACGACACCAGCTGGCTGCTGTTGAAGAAGCATGTTAGGAGGAATTTTTGCATGTCGCACCTCCAAAGAGGGATTCCCAACATCTTGAGATCACGTATCACGTTGAAGTGGTGTGTGAACCCAACCTTGACTATTCGTTCCTCTCCACTCTCGTGCATCTTTTGCCCTCAATGCAAAGCTGACCATTCAAAGATCCTGTATTCCGAGAACCGAAAATAACTTGGATGTTCGTCACCACCGTGGCCCTTGCTTTGTCAATACCGGTAAGGCTGAATGAAAAGCCCCGCCACACCAGCATCTTGCTTCCTTGAACATGTTCAGGTAGGGCAATCCCAAGCATCTGCGCCTTACGAAAGCCTTTCTCGCAGTGTTTGAAATGAGATTGGTCCACGCTCGTGCGGATAAAAAAGTAGACTAGCGTAGGGGCGGGCCCTTTGTTCAAAGTAGTTTGCTGAGAAATTCTCTTGTACTGATCCTTTCAACAATGCGATTGGATCTTTCATCGTTGCACAGTGCAGTGATTGCTTTCTAGTATGCGTGCATGGATCTTTCATCGTTGCACAGTGCAGTGATTGCTTGCTTATACTTCCCTTCGCGTTATAGGATTTGAGGAGCTAGAGAGGGCGGCTACTAGGTTAGAAGCCGTAACACAGATTGTAGTGCCAATAGATCCAGCCCGCTATTTTATCGAAGCCTTGCAGTTGGCAAACTACACGAGTACCATCTGTGCTGAAAGCAACCTTGATTACCCGCCAAGAGATTCCATCCAATCAACTTATGATGCAACTCAAGGCCAACAGTTTATGCATTAAAGCAATGCATCATGTCAACAAAACAAAATTGCTACGTTTGAGGGAGTAGGAACACCCCTTATGCTGTCTTTTGGGCTTTTCCTCTTCTTATTCGGGTCTGGTTGTTGTTTGGGCACTCACTCCATAGAGTAGTGCAGTAGTAACTTATTCTAATCTAGCAATTCCTAGGTGCTGGGAGGATAGGGGAGCTCTGCTTGCATCTCGTGTTACCCGACCCCTCACAGCACCGGTGGAGATTAACAAACAAAACAAACAAACTCGCTCTCAGTGTTTGTTCTTCAATGAATAGAACAAAAGTTCAGCTTTGTCACAATCTGAGTTTGCATAGATTTCGAGGAGAAACAGAATATCTTGGGGATCCAATCTATCACAGGGAACCACAATCATGGATGGTCCTTTGTGGGTTTCTTTGCTTTTAACCTTTCTTTGTTTGGAGGAGGCTTGTGATGTGGAAGGTTTTAATGGCAAATGAACACCTTCCAATGCATCAAAGATGTACTGTTGAAGCTGCTCTTCAGAAATGTTGGACACGGTTTTGTGCTTACGAAGGTGGGCTGATTTTTGAGAGAGTGCTTCCATTTTGGTGTACTCTCTCGAATGCGCCCAACTCGGGTCCTTGCTTTACAAGCATAAGCTCATGCTGTGTCATCGAGTCCACGCATGGAGCCCTTGGACTGAACGCGACTTAAACAATTCCAGTCACAGCAATTTCCGGAATTGGGTAGATTTCAATATGCACATACTTGTTAGCTAGATTTACCTAGCTAGCTAGCTAGCTAGCTAGATTCAAACTTCTGCCTAAAATAATGGAAATTATTTTACGTAAACTTATGATTAAATTATGGAAGATTTCCAAAAAGTGTTTGCTGTGCTGTGAGAAACCTTGTAACGCTCGTTTCGCCAAGAGTTGCTATCCAAGCCAACTGAGGATGCAAATCAAGGCCCAGAGTTTATGCATAAAAGGAATGCATCATGTTGATACAATTGAGGGAGTAAGAACACCCCTTATGCCGCCTTTGGAGCTTTTCCTCTCCTCACTCTGTTGTGGTTGCTGCTGTGGTACTCAACCTCAGTGCTTGAATTCTTCAATGAATCAAGTAAGAGCTCGGCTTTGCCACCATCTGAGCTTGCATAGATTTCGAGGAGAGACACAATTTCTTGGGGATCCAATCTAGCACAAGGAACCATAATCTCGGAAGGTCTTTTGGGTGCCTTGCGGGTTTCTTTGCCTTTACTTTTTCCTCGTTTGGAGGACGATTGTCTTGTGGAAGGTTTGGATGGCAACTGGGGACCTTCCAATGCATCAAAGATGAACTGTTGGAGTTGCTCTTCAGAAATGTTGGACATGGTTTTGATTACTTGAGTGGGAGGGTGAGCTGAGAAGTTCAGTTTGTGAATTATGGAAATTGTGAGAGAGAGCGATTTCAGTTTCTTGGTTGGAGGTTCTGTGAAGCTTACTGTGCTATCCTTGAATGCATGCCTCTCGGGTCCCTGCTTGAACCAAGGTGTCCAAAACTCCCAGCCACTGATGGAGCCCTTTGGCTTTCCGTGAAGAGCAACGCGCAACGTAGCTAACCCAGTCACAGTGGCGAAAATTCTGTCCAGTCAGATAGCTAGCTACCACCAAGCACCACCCATTCCAAGCACTATTTGGTCAAGTATAGTAGCTATTGTAGCCAGCCAGAGGTGTCTTCTACAGTGAAGGACCTTTTAAGCTCCTTTCTTTCTGAAGTAGCCACGGTACGCCATACCCAGTTGACTGCAGTGGCGAGCAAACAAGCAAACAACTTGAAGCAGCTGAGAGAGGAGGGGCCCCATGGAACACCAACTGGCTGGATACCTTCGCTCATGATGTCGCCGAGGGCTCCTGATATCGCTGCGGATCATGTACAGTAGTTGTCTGAGTCAACAGTTTCGAGTTGACATTTTAAAATAAATTTCCTTTGCATGTTGTCAATAATTATTCTCTCCCTGGATGTACGTTGGCTGGCGACGAGAACGATGGCTGGGCACCCAGAGCACATAGCTAATGATCGTTGATAAATTTGCGTGAAAGCCGCTAACCGTAAATGGTTGGCCGGTACGATAGCGAGGTGATCTGAAGTGCGGCTAGCTAGCATCAACTGCTTGTGGCTGCTCGAAAAGGAATTCATTCGTTCGCTCACTTGCTGAAGAGCAGAGAGCAGCAGGAGTAGTACTAGTCGCTCTGGAGTCAGTGGCCTTATTACTGACTTAGCATAGCAGAGATAGATAGAAGACAATGGTTTTACCGCCAGGCAGCCAATCAGACGGCGGTTGCTCTTCATGCACAACTGGCTGGCCACATTAGCAAGCTAAACTGGTTGCTTTCGTTTTGGTGCAGCCACGCAATCGTTCGTTCGTTCGTCCGTTACTGCTTCGTTAGATCCCCACACCTTGGCGCAGACAGGACCGGCATCGGTGGCGACGGGATGGACCTTCCAGGTAAGATGGCTTCTCACCCCCTGCGGATGCGTGCTCGTAGAGTCCTTGGATTTTATTTTACCTGTTTCGACGACCACCCATCCCTTGGCCGGTCGACCCAGTAGCATGATACTGTAGCGCGCAAAGAGCTTGATGGTGTCGACATTGCCCTTGAACCAATCCTCCCTGACCTCCAGCCATCTTTCAAAAATGGAGCCAAAGCTTTGGATGTGGCCCCTGGATTCATTCATGGTGAAGCACATCATGAACTACATTGTACTCTAGCTACGGTAGCAAGCTGACTGGCTAGCTAGCTACGTACGGGTATAGTTAGTTATCTTTGAGTTGTTCCAGAATGGTGCAAAGAACCAACAAAAATGTGGATCCCGCAGATAATCCACCTGTTCTACTACTAGCTAGCTAGTAGACCCCCACACAAACGAAATGTGGATCCAAGTCTTGTGCCGGCCCACCGGTACGGACACACTTATTCATGATGTGTGTTTCAATTTTTGGCGCGCTTTCGCCGTTAAACACCAGTTATCACTGTGAAAGAACATGGACGTCACCTCGCCGAAAGAACACCAAACGCATCAAGCAGCCAATTTCTTGAGGGCGAAAAAAGAATTTGTTGTGGATGCCATGGCGTCAGTTGCCTTATTGGATGCACATATCATACATGACAACTGTATGCCATACCGGTACAAATAAGTCTGTCGGAACCTTCCTTGAGTAAGCTGCCTATCCAAGCCTGTAAGGTCGGGTAAGGTGGCTTGCATTCTCTCAAAAGCTCGAGAGAAGAGAAATTCGATCTTTCCGAAATTCAGAACACCCCAATCATACGGGAATACCCATCAGCCCATTATTAGTATACCATTATTTAGTTGCAACCAAAATAGCTTGTCAATCGATCGATGCCTGGAACACGTAATCGTCCCAGCAGTCCCCTTCCTACCGGTACATGCAACAGGTATCCGAAGCGAAGCACGAGAATGGAGGGAAGCAGCGCTACTGGTATTAGTACAGAATACGATTTCTTTCAGGCCGTGATTGACGAGTCTTTAGCTGTCATGGAAGGCACTACGGATAATAACGGCAATGGTGCTGCTGCCCCTGCTACTGTCTCTCCTCCCACCAGGAAACGCAAACGCACCAAGAAGAAAACGTCCAGCAGCAGTAACGGTAAAAACAAGAATAATGGAGGAGCTTCAGCTTCAAGCTCACATGTGGCCATTCTATCCTCCTCTCCCGACGAGGAGAGTGATGATTCAAGTGAGGAACCACCCAAGAAGAAACTGGCGGTGGAAAAGAAACTGGATGTCTACACGGCAACTACAGAGACTGGTACTGCCAGCAAGAAGAGCATGCGTACTCCTCCTCCATCGCTTCTGGCCAGTCCAGCCACTCCCGCAAAGCCTACCGAGGATGACATTCCATGTCCTTTGGAACATGTGCTGCCCACACCTCCAACTTTGGTGCACCATACAGCCCATGGCACGAACCTTCAACCACGACGTCTTTTCACACAGTCTCCTACTCTTGGACTACACCAACCGCAACAACAGCAGCAAGAACCAATGAAACCACAAAACAAGGATACTACAGAAAAGCCACATTCCTCTTCCAACTCCAACAACAACAATCATCATTGGACTCGACAGGTTCACACCTTTCTGGTAATCCTCAGTTGGACCTATGTCGTCACACTGTGTGTCTGGAGTGTCCACCAGCGAAATAATAATAATGTGCCAGACACCAGCAGCAACATTTGTTTTCGAAACAATGTACACGTCCGTGACAAGTACAAGGGTGTCTGTGCTGCTCCTGCTGCTGCAGATCCAACAACCTTTGCCGACTGTCCCAAACATGCGCTCTGTTGGGGTGGGCAAGTGCACGATTGTCGTTTTGGCGGTGGGCCCGATGATGTTGAGTTTGATCAGGATGATCTGGAGCAGTACTACTACTATGAGTACTCGCCAACGGAGGCACGATGCAGGTTGACCAATGCCGTCAATGACACTTTGGCAGAAATGATTCAAATTGTCGAGCAAGGGACCATGGCAACCCAATGTGGTGGTCCATCATCAGCAGATGGTCCAAAACCGGTTTGGATAGGATCCATGCATGATGATCGTCCCTGGTTTGTGTTGATGGATGTCGTGCAGAAACTTTCTAAAGAGCAACACATCATGTCTCCTCGAACCGAACAAGACGCCCTCAAGTTGGTTCGTCTAGTCACAGCACCGCAGCAGCAACGCAATCTCATTCTCACCTTTGTGCCCAACAGCACGACGGCAACAACAATTGCAGCTCGAACAAGAATGTCGTCGTATTATTCCAACTGGTTTGGAAGTGGCACATCCAACGACAATCAGAGTAGCAATGACACGGACAGGAATCTCCCTGCGGCTGGAACGCCCTTGATTGGATTGAACAATACATCTTCGTGGCGGTATTCATGGTTGCCACTTGCCGTACAATGTCGTGCCCATGGAATCATGATGCCACTACTGGAAGCGACCGTCACGGGGGACGTTTCTGCGAAAGAGCCAGCGAATGCAACAACACTGCCCAACAACGTCACCATTGCGGAACGAATGGAAGCCGCTCGTCAATACATTCTTTCCTCCGTTCACCGCGGTATTCAGACCTTACGGTCGATGAACAAAAACAACGTCATTATGGAAGAACGATTGGAGGACACTGGACGAAAGATTCTTGCCACAATTGACCGCAGCATGGAAAGCATGAAATCCACCACAGAAGAAAGAATCGAGGCGGTTCGAAGGAGTGTTCTTTCCACAGTCGAACGCATCAATCGCAGCATGGAAAGCATGAAATCTACCACGGAAGAAAGAATCGAGGCCGTCCGACAGAGTATTCTTTCCACAGTCAAACGCATCATTCGCAAGATGAGATCCATGAATGTGAGCGGCATGTTCGGCATGTTCGGCACACAGAGGCAGCACACGGTTGATGGTGACAAAGCCCTCCACGAAACAGTCGGCATGCGACCCAAATGGTCAACCAAGAAGAATCCCTGGTCCTTGACAGAATGGATATACATGGTGATCTGTCTGTCGGGTTTGGTGTTTACGGGCTATATTCAGTACCACAACCATCGTTTGAAGCGACATCGAACTTGGATGCCACAAGTGGCCAGACTTCGAGAGTTGGCATTGGATCACATTGAAGAGGCCACCAACGGGGGATACGTAACGACGCACCTCCGAGACGCCGTCCTCGCTGCTGCGTTGTTGTACGAGGAGGATGCCAACAACCAGGAACGACGCCATTTGCAACGCAATATTTGGCCCACGGCAATGAAGCAACTACGCGACAACCCGCACGTGTTCGAGTCGACGGTCGTTTCCAGCACCACTGGTCGGGCACAACGAGTACTGTCGTGGCGTCGCACATTGGTCGTGGAGAAAGACGCGTTTGGAGAGGAACCGAGAAGTCAATCGGGAACCAGAAAGGTGACGATTTGTGAGTAAGAAAGGCGGTCAGTATATCTCTTTTTCGAAGCTACCGGGAATATGGTTGGGGGTGGAAAAGAAAGGGGATGTCATAATATTATCGCATGTAGCTGGGTGTATACTGGATAACAAGTAGATAAATGGTTGTAGTTTATGTATCGGCGGTGACAGCAAGTGGAGACAAACGAAATCAATCGGTTGGTTGGTTAGCTAACTCGACAAGGAACTCAGTTCCGAAGATCACGGTGGAATCCCTGAAAATGCACCCATCCCCGCGAATCCGCTGATCCCTTTGCCGTTTTGTTCCTGTGAGATTGCGGCGACCTCCGCTAGCTAGTAGATCGCCTTCGCCTTCAGCAGCTGAATTGGTTTTCCAATTCGAAACCAACCATCTGTTCGCAGCAAAGAAACATAATGGTAGCGAAGATGATCAAAGTCTTGTGGGCTCATGCAGAACCGTAGGCGATTGGATTCACCCATATCAATCATTTCCCATTCGAGGCAAGAAAGCACATGAAAGCTTTTGGAACCTTGTGCTAGAATGTCGTCGCGGATTGGAGAACGGAAACGGCCAATCATCCTGCTCATGCTTCTAAACATTTGCTTTGTCACATCATCCATCTTGTCCTCATCCACGTCATCCATGGGATGTTCTGGTTTTGTTGGCTCCAGCACCAACCCCATGCTCTGGTAGCTAGGGTGGTAATCATCGCCCAACGGATTCACAGTGATTGGCATGGTTAGTTCGTATTGTTGAAGGACCAAGCAAGCTAGAGAGCTGGCGTCCAACGAAGACAATAAAGGTAGCTTTGAGAGCTGACGCTGTTGCATGTTGATTGCCATTTGCGTCCGGAGGTCCAAAGTGAATGCACTGATGTCGACCTTGTGATCCTGCCCTTCACTCTTGGTTGGCTGGGGCGGGTCACTAGCAGGGATGATTGCCTTCGTAGAGAACTGCTTGTCTGACGAAGCTGAAACCAGTTCGTCGAGAGCGCAAGAAATCCAGTGGGTTGGATACTTCAGTTCATCCACACAAAATTTGCAAGTGTGAACAAATGCTGCAACATTGTTCGGATAGTTGACCCTTATGGGCTCAGTGAAGGGTCGCACGGGAGGCAGAATGGTCAATAGGAAGAGCCTATGCAACCATCTGCGAAATTCATCTTTTGACATATGTTTCTGAATTCCAGATCTCGTCCATACATATTCCCGCCAGGCGCAATCCTCCGCGTTGCCCAAGTACTTCATTCCAAATAGATTTTCTGCCTTGCGTGTAGTTGGAACAGCTGTCGTGCTAAAAATGTACTGGGCATAGCTTCCGAAGCACTGGCAGTTGAGAAGAATGTCGAGATGTATGTGTGAGGAGACCTTTGGTTTGTTTTCATGTAACAAAGGCATGATATCTGTGAAGACAGGCAAGATGCCAGTGTAGTCCGGAATGTTGGAAAGGAAAGCACGGTGAAAACGCTTCGTCCCCGCCTGACGGTAACGCTGACAAACTGAGACAATGTCCCCAACGTTCCATTCGACTTGAAGAGCATCCGATTGCTCACACAACGATACCAAAGCATGCGCTGCATTCCAGAAGAAACAGCTGGTCCAATCAAAGAATTCTGCCAGTTCTGGGTCCGACTGTGTACCTGCTTGTGATTCACAAAACAATGCTCTCACTTTCGTTTCTTCAGAAATGACATCAGAGCCATAGGCACAGTTCATGTAGTCATTCAAAAAGTCAAGGACAGGTGAGAACCGCTGTTCGCTGAATAACACAGAATGATACAGAGGATCGAACATGAACGGATTTGTTGACCATGTGCTCATGACGGCATCTTCAGCTTCCTTCAGGTCTGCTGGATCAATGCAGCCAGCGACAGCTTGTTTTGACCCTGGAAACCGTCCTTTATCCTTGTCATAGATTTTTGAAAAAGCACTGCATTCTGAAAGACGAGAAGGAGGGAGTAGCACCCTTGTGGATTTCAGAAAGCTTTGTGCCAATTCGATGCCTGGCGACTCCATCCAATGCTTTCGGCTACTGAGCTTCTCATCAAAGTCCTCCAAATCCAGAGTTTCGCCAATAGTCGACAGATATGCCTTGACCATATCCTCATCTGTGATCCCCGGACCAAACTTGAGACGCATTTGTTGCTTCATTTGTGGGCTCCAATTGTTGAAGTCACTCATTCGCAGAACGTACGCATCCATTTCTGCTTTTGCATGAGCACGACGGGCACTCATCATGGCTTGTGCTTGTGGAGCTGAAGGGTTGATATCCAAACCTTGATCCAGTGGTTCCTTGAGATGCAGGTGGCGTCCTAAGCATTCCTTGACATCAGGAATGTCGTCCCACAACGTTGAGTGTTTATTGTGATTCTTACCTCCCACCTGGGCAATCCAATAGGATAGAATTGGGAGGATTTGCTTCCAGTCTTGTTCCGAGGTGCACTGTAACCAAGGGTAGGATTTCTCAAAGGCATCAGGAGTTTTGAATTCCATTATTTCTTCCATGGCTGCAACAGCCATATCTTTGACCCATGGTGGCATGGCATGACTCAAGAGGATGTATTGAAGAACAGCACACCACTGGGATGCTTTTTTCCCCTTGTTGGTTTTGACATCTTTTCTTTGCTTGGCAAGCTTCCCAATTTTGTGGAGAATCACCAGTGTCAAAACGAATCTAGCTTGGGATGCTCGGTTGATGTCATTGCAAACAATTCTTAGCTTGACATTTTCTTTTTTGTCACCCAATAACTCTTTGTACTGGGCATGGACATCCATAATGGTGGCTAGAACGTGCCTTCCATCGTTAATTCCCGCCATCAAAATGTCCAGCTCCAAGCAGTCCTTGAGGCGGATTTTGGGTGACGTATCTGCTTGTTTGCCATTAAAATTGGGCCCTTCCTCTAAAGCGGACCGGACTCCATTGTGCCCAAATCGATAGTATTCCACAATGGGTTCCATGAGGGCCGTTCGAAGTAGCCGGACGGGTTTCTGAAGGAGCGCCTCTGGAGTCTTCTTACCGTCATTATTATTGTTGTTGTGCTGGTATTGGGACACTTGTGTGAGCATCTTTTTGGCACGCTTGGCATATGCCTGATTCTCACAGGCTGCTAGCTCCTGTAACATCTGGATACTGTCCTCCACGTTGCGCCCATAAAAGTAGGCCCGTGCCATTCGCAGGATATTCTTGAGATACAGCCCACGGATTTTGTCCTGCTCTACTACTGACGTTTCCTTGAGTGCGTTTAGCACGGTCACACAGGATTGAGCCACTGTGACGGACTTGGCATAGTCGCCAAGTTCAAACCAGCAGTTGGATAGATTGGAGAGGCAAACAGCCTTGAGATAGATAGTATCATCGTCAAGGGGAATACCCGGACTGGTAGTACTACTGCCATTCTCCTTTTTTGATTTGGAATCGATCATCCGAATTCCTCTCTCATAGAATTTGGCTGCTTGCTCAAACTCCCCCCGTGCAAAGAGTTTATTGCCAGCATCCTTGATGGACGCCGCATCCTTTGGCGTCTGCTTAGTCTTCTTCATTAGTAAGTCCTTCAATATGTAATAATGAACAAGCAAGATGTACAACAGCCATCGATAGAGCCTCAGTTGATGGATTGGATCTTTATCTTCGCTGAGGTCCCAGCCAAAAACACGCCATTGGCTTTTAAAAAAGCCAGTAGAGCGGAATGCAGGTTCAGAACCGGAATTTCAGAAACTTTCTTTTGGACTCGGTCATCTGGAACACCGTAGCAGAAGATACAGTCATTCTACAGAAGAAGGGAGCAGTGGTCATTTAAAAGTCTCTACTCCGAAACAGCCTGCCTGCCCTCCAAGTTCCAAGCTGGGGTCTTGTGCTCGAGCTCGACCATCTGTTTCACCCTTGGATCGCGGTCCGCTGCATGAACACACCCAACCAAGAAGCAGCCCAAGCAGGTATTAGCAAGCACCAGCAGTAACAATTTTTAACCATGGCAACGGAGTTTCAGGCTACTTGTCAGCAGGCTGAGATTCTCCACGACGAGGAGGAACCAAGTCGGCTGGAATCAGAGCAGTTTCTTGACGAGGAGAAGCCAGAAAGCTACACCAACAAGCCTGCTGTGGTCGACCAATCAGAATCAACAGCCGAGTACCAAGATCGTACCCTCGAAATGAGAAATGGAGAGGCAGCAAGGGCATTGCAGCAGGCAGTGGATCTGGACGAAGCAGCAAGAGCTGAGACTTTGAAACTACAAACATTCGGAACCGGCTCTACGGGTAGCCAAAAACAACATATTGTGCCGACCAAGGACGGACAAGATAAAACCAGTCCGATTGGAGAGGCAGCAAGGACATCTCATCAGGCAGTGACTCTGGATGAAACGGCAAGAGCTGAGATGTTGAAAATACAAACCTTCAACCCAGGGGACAGAATCCGCTCTACGACTAGCAACAATCAGCATATTGTGCCGACCAAGGACGAAGATGATAAAACCAGTGCGATGGAGGGTTTCTCGCTGTTGGAAACAACTGATACGGGAAATGAAGAGGCAGCAAGGACATTGCAGCAGGGGATGGATCTGGACAAAGCGGCAAGAGCTGAGATTTTGAAGGTACAAACGTTTGGAATTGGCTCAAATAGTAGCAACAATCAGCATATTGGGCCGACCAAGGACGAAGATGATAAAACCAGTCTGACCGGAGAGGCAGCAAGGAATTTGCAGCAGGTGGTGACTCTGGACGAAGCGGCAAGAGCTGAAATGTTGAAAATACAAACTTTCGCAGCCGGCTCTACGAGTAGCCAAAAACAACATATCGATGCCAAAAGTGGATCAAGCGATAAAAAGAATCTGCCGACTCTCAAATACAACACATCTACCGGTATTGCGACGACGACACCCTCATTCACATCCTCGGGAGTGACCACCATTGAACAACTCATGAGGGATGGCTTGGATGCCCCTTCACCCATACCGCTGACACGCCATTGCAATAACCGGCCGTCGCCTGCCGCACCAGGAGCATTTCGAGCAACCATAGGTCAGCAGCCACAGCAAGTGAGTCAGCTCCACAAAGGCGGGATGGATGTTTTGACACGCCGCTACCAGGATCCCATGCTACAGACAGAAGAAGGACCTTCTCAGGATCCCATGCTGCAAGCCGAAGAAGGATCTTCTCCTCCAGACGATAATCACAATTTTCAAGATGAAACAAGGGAAAGTGTTGCAATTACTGGAGAATTGATGACTGACACAATGCAAGGAAAAAAACTGTCATACTGGACCATTGCTGGTGCGATTGGTTTGCTGGCATTGATTATTATTATTGCAATTGTGGTGGGTGTTACAACATCCAAGGACAAATCCAGCCCAGAAGAAGTTGACGATATAGGCACAGAAGAGATTGCCATCTCGTTGTATACTTTTCCATTGAAAGATGTGTTTCCCACAGAAGAATCATCGTTGTCCAATGAAACCCGACAAGCCATTTTATCTGAAAACGAACAATCACCGCAGGTTCAGGCATTTCAATGGCTCACACAAGATGAAAACTGGCAAAACTATGGCATGCCACAGCTACAGCAGCGATTTGCTTTGGCCACTGTCTTCTATGCCACTGGTGGCCCAAAATGGTTTGATCATGTCCAAAGTACCAACTCCTACAATCTATGGCTTGATTATTCGACACATGAATGTTCCTGGTATGGCATGCCCAATGTGTATGGCCGGCAAAAGTGTTCCAACTACACGGCAACAACTGAAGCATCGCAAACTAATCCATGGGATGCCCATTACCATTATCAATCCTTGCAGCTAAGTGCCAATCCAAGGCTCCTCCTCACGGCCAGGAATACTGAAGCGAGGCTGCGAGGGACTCTTGTACCAGAACTGGCACTCTTGACCAATCTACGAGAACTCGATATTGAACATCAAAGCATCAAGGGCACTATTCCCAATGAATTGACCCAGCTCTCCAACACACTCCAGTACATCTACCTGACAAAATGTTTCTTCACTGGGACCATTCCAGCACAGCTATTTGTGTCATCTCGTTCCCTCTTTATGGGTCACACATCTCGGTTGACAGCATCGATCCCCACCGCCATTGGAGATTCTTCCCAAATGGCACATTTAATTTTGACAGAAACGAATTTGCAAGGGACAATCCCAACAGAGCTTGGCTTGGCCACTAAGCTGCAAGAGCTTCTGTTAAATGGCAATGACTTGAAGGGACCACTCCCCAGTGAAATTGGGCAGCTTTCCTCCCTGAAAGTGTTGGACTTGACAGCAAATAGGCTCTCTGGTTCTATTCCCTTGGAGATTGGACAAGCAGGACAGCTCCAGAGTCTCAGGTTGAGTAGTAACTTTGACCTGGAGGGCACCTTGCCTACCAGTCTGGCCCTCCTCTCCAATCTGCAAGTGTTGGATATCTTCAAGAATTCCATTGAGGGAGCTCTCTGGCCAGAACTGTTTTATGTGACAAGTGATTTCAATGGTACATCGGCAGTGACCGCTTCTTGGCCAAAGCTCACTACCTTTATTGTCACTGAGAATGGTCTCACGGGTCCTATTCCTTCCGAAATTGGCCTTAGCAGATCCTTGAAGGGTCTGTTCTTGGCCCGAAACCGCTTTGAGTCTCAGCTGCCCACGGAACTTGGCTTGTTGTCCAATTTAGAATGCTTGGGAATTACCGAAAATCGATTCACTGGCCAATTCCCCCCTGTTGGTGCTGGTTTGATAACCGATGTCAATGCCGACCTGTCGGCTTCATCAGAATTGCGTGGGAACTTTGTAGCTCAATGCGTTCAAAACTGAGAAAAAGGACACCTATTCATACTGGTAGCTTTCTTCGCCTGAATTGGTGTTTGCAGACTTGAACAGCCTATTTCCAGTAGCGTATTCTTTTGCATGAGTTGAGTTCTGCCCTGTCTTTGATTTATTCGGAGGGATGCAAGAGTGAAACCAGACGAATCGCGGCAGGCTCATGAATTGTGGCAGCATGATACATGGCTTGATTATGATGTAGTTTGTTTTGTGGGCAACTTGCTAGCCAGCTACCAGTACTGTACTGGAGTAGTTAACCTCGGCAGTCTTGCTGCCAGAGCCCTCAACCCCTTTAATTGTTTTTCCTGCTACGGTGGTCCCTGCAGGTATAAGGGTAGGGTTAGAATGCAAATAAGTCAGCAAAACTAAATAGGTATCCTAGCTAGGATGGTGCTTTTAAAAATCAGCTAAAGCTATTTACATGCATCCTAGTAGGGCGATTTGCTTCTACCAGGAAAAACTCTAAAGCCAGCGAACGCTATATAACTAGGATTCTAGCTAGCTAGGGGTATCTGCTTCTAGCTTGCTATGGGAATGTGCTTCTAGCTAGGGGGGGTCTACTTCTAGCTAGCTAAGCGCAAGCTAAGCACTAGCTAAGCACTAGAGGTATCTGCTTCTAAGCTACTGGAACGCTGTGGAAATCGCGGTATCTTGTCAGACGTGCTTCCGATTTTGTCTAATTTTGAAATAAGACAAGATTGAAAACACGGTTTTGTCCTAATTCTCAAGCTTGTCTTCAAATCTTGTCCTATAAGCCAGATTGGCTCTTCTGGTCTTGTCATATAGGACAAGGTTGCTGTCTCTAAATCTTTCATCTTGTCCTAAGTCTTTAAGCCAATTTTCAACGACACTACTAGTAGCTATTACAAGACGACTACGACCGTACTCCATCTATCGACAGCTAGGAGGCTTTGTTCTTCTTCTTTATCTTTGGTTTCAAGCGCTTCTTTCCTTTCATATCCAATGTATGCAGGTATTTCTTTGTTTTGGCTAGCTGATAGATGTGATCTCTAAACACTTTCAGGGGGTAAGGATCGTATTCATCTCGAAGGCACCAAAGCTCCGCGGGTTCTAGCGTCTCGAGTAAGCCAAGCTCGATGTCTTCTTCCAATTGCTTTTTTGCTTCTGATCCATCCCATTCCGGGTAACCATGAGCAGAGAATTTGTGCACAACATTGTTTGTGAGGAAATTGCTGAACGCAGCCTTGTCATCATCGGTTCTAGAGAGGTGCCGCTTCACAATCTTTCAAAGGCTTGAAAGTCGTGTCGAGAAGTTTTTGTACCCATGAAGAGCATATTCAGGACGGCTTGTAAAGATCTCACTGGTTGGCATTGCTTTGTCGGGCTGTCGCGGAATCACATTGTCGATGGGTGGTAATGGAGGAGGAGTCCTCAAATTCTTGGTGGTTTGACGTCGCGGCATGGTTTGTTGTGTGTTGTTGTTGTTACTGTTGCTGTCAAACGACCCAACTAACTTCAAGAACTTTGAGAGCTAAAAATCTAGCTCTCCAAGAAAGAATTTGAAGAGCAGGGAGACACGTAGAAATTCTACCACGAGCAGGCCTTGCTGGCTTAGGTCACCTCTGAATTCTGAATTCTGCTGGCCTCCAATTTTTTTGGCGGCCCAAAGGTGCCACAATGGTCTCAACCCAAAGTGGAAAGAAGGAAACAAAGGCTGATCCTGGTGGAGGGTCTGTTGCATCGTCTACTGTTGGCAGTAGACCAGGGTTACCAGCATTTCTAATCAAGTCTCTTGCAACTGACATCCAACGAGAGTACGGAGGAATTCACAAGCTAAAGGGCCCAAAGGTGATGCAAAAGCTTCTCGACAAGCACAACTCGGACGACAAAGCTTTGTACGGACAAGTTGGCTCGGCTCTTCGTACCAAGATTAGCAACAAGGTAAACAAGTGGAAACTGTTGTCACAGGATCAGTGGCGGAGCAGAGTATTGCTGAAGCTAGAAATTCCAGAAATGCCCACCAAGAAAGAGAAAGAACAGGTTGAGAAAACCGATTCTTCGATCAGCTCAAAGGAAGACGAAGATGAAGACGACGAACTGCCTGTTCTAGCAGTGATCGAGACGCCCACCAAACTACCCAAGAAGAAGCAGGAAACGCGGGAAACTCCGAAGTCAACACCAACAAAGCAGCAAGGGATCGCCAAGATGAAGAAATCTACCCCAACAAAAGATCTTGCTGCCAGTCTCGATAATTTGAACTTGGGCAGCAGCATTTCTAGCATTCGTATGTGCTGAGAAATGAGATAATGTTTGTTCTTGGCTGTTCTCCTCACTGCCTTTTGCTTGTTTCTTAGTTCCAATCCAAGTCGATATTGAAAATCTGGCAAATAATGGGCCACTTCAGGTCTACGAGCTCGGCCAGATGTTTGAGGGTGTGGGCGACCACAAAGGATATCTCTATTATGGATACGCTATTGTTCTTCTATTGGATCTCCGCTGGATTTTGGACGATCTGACGACCTTTTGGTATTCGGCGCGTATTACGAGCAGCAATGAGATATTGGTCAAACTCCCTGCCTGGGATTACAATCAGTGGTTCCATCGAGATGCATTTGAAGCATCGACAACGAACGCTGCCAAGGGAGTTGCGGGTGCATTGGATCATAGTCATGACAAGCTCAAGAAGAAGCAACCAAAGGGAGGGCCGGCTACCGGTATCAAGCAGTTCCAATACTATCGACTTGTGTTTCCGGATGATCACGAGTTCGATGCCAAGACTATTTTTGCCGATTCTGGAGAGGACAATTGGCTTCAGCTTTTGATTGGAACTGTGAAGATTGACCATCAACTTGCAAAGGTGAAGGACTGAGAAGACAATTACGCAGTCTTTTTGGTTGTATGCGATCATCTCACCAGTCGCAAAAGGGCAAAGACGGAGGAGAATGCGCGATGAAATCCCGTCGCTGCAGCGCGCTCATGCTCTGTTGGATATTGTCGGAGAAAGTGCATGGACATGAGAAAATAATCCAGCCGAATTGATCCAGAATCTACGCGGCATTCTTCATTCTCAGATCGTTAGAGATCTTCAAAGATGGCGCACAGCACGGTTGGAGATGCTCCATATCGCGACAAGAACCTTTCGATGCTGGTTGATTCCTTGCAACGGTCGACAGTCTTCTTGGAATAATCGGCAAACAGCAACCCCCTCTCTAGCATCTCGCTAGGAGTGAGAACCACAAGCTGCCCTATGTCGTTCTCATCATCGTAGTCGTCTTTGATGTCGGCCATGGTCTCCTTTTGATTGTTGCTGTTGAGTGGCTGTCATTGGTTTCTGGCTTGTCATTGGTTTCGTGATCTTGTCTTAAATCTACCAGTCTTGTCACCCAATTTTGTCTAGTGAGAATTATAGGACAAGATGTCGTGTCCTAATCGAGAATTAGGACAAAACGAGATTTCAAACTTGTCTTAATTCCAAACCATCTTGTCTAGGCACGACTGCCCATTCCACAACGTTCCTGTAGCTAGCTAATAGGGGGATCTGCTTCTACACTGAAACCTTTCTGCCGAGGTTACACAGCTCCGCTGGCTTATTAACGCAGTGCGCAGATCCGTATGCCTCCAAATCCCCATTGAGAGAAGCCTAAACAATTTCTCTCCTGATAGGATCTCAGTCTGAATGCACTCAAAGGTAGGTAGCTATTCATGGCTATTGAGTACGACTGTACTAGTTTAATAAATAGTAGCCTAGCCCAATAATACCGACATCAAAATCTCATCTTTCGCTCCAATGACATTCTCAACTCAACTCTTTGGTTACAATGGCTACTATCTATGCAATTTCTTTTGCTCTCCTATCTGTATCATTAAACTCGTTATTGTATTGGTACGGGCTGATCAGCGAGATGGAGAGCAGGAAAGACACCTGGTGGTGGTACGTACCGTACTGTACCTGTACCGGTACCGGTGTCGGTACACTTCAAGCTACATGTAGGAAGTTCTTTCAGCACTGGTACCCATCATATTGAGTTTTCGAATGTCAAAGATGTTGCCCTGCTTCTGTCCTGTCGATTCGTGTCCTCAGTCTCATGGTTATGTGATGGGTTCTTCATCCTGTTGAGGAAGCCACACCGATTCGATGTTCGCACGATTGTAACCCATCGTTCGAACAAGCCACCAAATTACTCATCCCAATCCACTGGATCCTTCCAGAAGAAGAGGAACATAGAAGGCTTGTTTCAAATATTTTCGGATAGTCCAAGCCCTACCAGCAATACCGGAGCCGAGTCACTAGCTAACAGTGATGGCCCGCCGGTGCTGTCGCAGCTAGAGCCCATGTACTGCCAATGCGGCCCTGGTAGCTCAAATCCGAACAAAGCTCTGCTGCTACTCCAAACCCAGGTTTCTTTGGGTTGGCAGACTTGCGAAAAATGGAGTGTTTTCTCGTTCGGCAACGCTTACCTGGTTCTCGTAACCAGTTCTCTCCCATTTGTGAGCGGTCGATTGCATGGACGGAGCTACGGGAGCAGTACTGCCCAGGTTGGAATCTACCCACACACCGCTAACTTCAGTGACTTTCGGGATGGTTCTACCCCGACAGAAGATGCTCGGACTCATTCGTGGGCTTTCTCGTCTAAGGATGTACCACGGGGGATACTGTGCTCCTTGGATTTTTAAAAGCAATGAAATAACACGAGAAAAGCACGTGAACAACAACAAAACCTCCATCAACCTACTGCTCCCAGCTGGCAGCACCAAAGAGACATACAATAAGTTTGTTTTCAACAATATATGTCATAAGCTATCTTATACAGTACACTTTGCTCTATCTGATCGTGCAAAAAGAAACCAAAAAGAGGCTAATGGGTACTAGCGCTTTATCATCAAAGTTAAAGCATCATCGCGTTTCGGTTTACCATCTTCAACTAGGGATGCTGGACACGCATCAACACATTTTGTGTTTCTTTTAGGTCAAACAGATAGAGCTACTCCTTCTCTACAAGGTATACTATAACACTCTATGCAAACTCTCAACAGGGGAGGAGAACGAAGACACCAGCTCGGAATGGAGGTTTTGTTGTTGTTGTCGTGCTATTCTCGTGTTGTTTTCGAAGCACGACTGAAACTGGCCCCTACCCCGTGGGACATCCTTAATAAAACGCGCTATTACGCAAAGGAAACGCGGATGTAGTGTAGTACCCCAAAGAAATGGTTGAGCATGAAGTTATGAAATGCACTACTTAGATTTGTCATGAAGGCCTGAGAGCATTAATTGCCTTGACCAAGACATGGGTTTGGTGGAAGGAGTTGCCAGAGAGCCACGCTTGTCATACCGGTAGCACATGTTGAATCCGTTGAGACCTTGTGCTCATTTTGGACAGATCCAATTCCTATAGTCAGATGCTATGCATGACTGCACAAGCAACCACAGCCACAAAGCAAGCTGGAACAGTCAAAAGCCAGTCCAGCAGCATCTCCACATTCATTCACAGAAGTGCTTGTACAGGTGGCATTGATGGTACATAGCTCCACAGGAACAGTCCCAGACAAGCCTGGATTACCTTCCAGCTTCAACATGTACAAAGAGTCCTGAAGTGACGATAGTTCTTGAGGGACAGTGCCAGATATGGCGTTATTGGCAAATGTCAACTGGACCATGTTGGTGAGCTGACCAAGCTCACTAGGGATCTGGCCAGAGAATTGGTTGTTGGAAAACTCCAACTCTTGTAGCCTTGTCAAGAAGCCAAGTTGGGTGGGAATGACTCCGGAAAACAGATTGTCTCTCAAGTCCAGGGAATCCTCCAAGCTTGCGAGAAGGCCAAGCTCACTTGGGACTTGACCAGAAAACTGGTTCTTGTCCAGTCGAGCCAAAAACATTGATGAGAGAAGGCCAAACTCTGTAGGTAGAGCGCCTTCAAACCAGTTGTCCCATGCAGAAATCAACATCAACTTTGAAAGCTGCCCTATCTCACTTGGAAGGTTCCCAGTCATGCTATTCTCAGCAATTACAAGCCACTCCAGTGATTTGATTTGCCCTATTTCAGTTGGAATTGTTCCTGGTGACAATAGAGAAGATGATATTGAGACAGGTACCTTGACCAAACTTCAATGGGTCTGACACAGCTACAGCTGGATTCTTAAAGCACCTACCTGAAAAGCCACTCTGATCCAGGATGAGCCATCTTAACTTTGAGAAAGCAGATATCTCAGTGGGGATTGTCCCCCCCAGTTCGGGGTTCCCAAACAGAACCACATCAACCAAGTTGGTAAGCTTCCAGAGCTCACTGGGAATAGTTCCCTGAAGCTGATTTCGACCCAAGAAGAGTACATTCAAGTTTGTCAGCAAACCTACTTCAGTTGGAATGACACCTTTGGGAGGCAGCTGACCAAAGGATAGTCCTTCCAATCGTGTCAGTTTCCCAATCATACTAGAAATGTTCCCATCTATTTGATTCCTCCCCATTGACAGTGTCTTCAATGTTGTTAACATGAAAAACTCAGTTGGCAGGAAGCCCACAAGATTGTTCTGGTCAAGCCAAATGTGTTGGTAGAGCCCATCCGCATCACATGGAGTGGAGGGAGGAGGTTCCAAGAAACCATCAAGGTACCCTGGAAGATAAAGAGAAGTGACATGTTTCCTTGAAAAACTTGGCTTTTGGAACCAGCTGCATTCGTGGATGCTATGATTGAGCCAGTTTGTGTTATCTTCCCAACCATTGCCATCAGTGGCAAAGTACAAACTGGCCAGAGCAAATTTCTGAATTATCCTTTCATCAGAATACGTGGGGAGATGATCAGAGTCTTGCAATAGCCACTGATAGGCTCTGGACTGATGTGAATCGGCATCTCCTAGAGCCAGTGTGGCATCTCCTTTGAACAGCACGTACTTGATTTTCTTCTCCAATGGATTGACTGGAGACTCTGAAGGATAGTTTGTCTGAAGTTCTGTCCCCGATTCAGGTGTGTCAGGGGTTGCGCCCTTGTTGACAAGAGGGAGGACTGCTGTCAGTATGATGATGATCATTGCCAAAGTCATGACCCCCAAAATGATTCTGGTTTTTGCTTGCTCTGAATGTGCCTTCCTCTTCCTATTCCGAGTCTGAATGCTGTAGTGTTCCGCATGGGGCAAGTCTTCATCAACCAAGTTTGCCACCACCAAGCCCCCATCATCACTGGTACCATGATGGGTCTGAGCCCTTGCATCCACACTCTCTCTTGAACTTGATGTCATTCTGGTATGGGCGCTCGTGCCTGATACTTTGAACAGGCCAAGTTCTTCTTCGTGTCCATCTAGTGAAAATTCGCATGATGAACCAACTAGTGATAAGTTGAGAGACTCGGCTCTCTGAAGTTCCCCAGTACCAGGCCTTGCTGCATATGCCCCTGGCTGTCGTGAGTGGGTAGATCCTTGTAGTTGCTCTTGATGCTGACTGTTGATGGTTGATCCGTGCTGTGTTGGGATGCCAACCGCCGTGGCGCTGCCAATGGAAACCTCCCACATCCTCTCCCGCAGTACTTTCATGATGAACTCGTCCTCCCTGGTGCCTTGTGATTCATCTTCTCCTGTTTCGTCATAGCCTGCAGCATATGATGTTGTCCTGGGGGTGGTCACAGGAGGACCATACCCCGAATCGGTCGCTGAGTTCCTTTCTGTCCTCTGTCTAGCTGGTTGTTCCTCTTCTCGGGATGAAGACCCTAGCATGCCCAGTTCAGCTACTACATAGAGGCGGTCTGAATCTACATCGTTTGTGTCATTATGGCCATGTTCATGCGGTTCCGTGCCTTTCGCGGCATTCTTCGCAGGGGTTGTCATGGCTAGTTGTCAAAGGAGACCAGAACACAAGGCTTGGTTTCTGGGATCTAGAGGTGATAGAGTTGCTATGGGTAGCTTGTTGCGGCAAACAGGTTCAAATGCCGCGGAGAGAGGTGTTTATACGAGGGTGGTTTCTTCACAAAGGTTGGTAGAGAGTTCGACAAAGGTACTAGCTAGCACTGGCTAAAAGCTCTGTTGACCAGTATCAAATGCGGAGGTTTTTTGGAGGGCAGTGATGAATGCTGTGAGTCTTCAGATTAGAGTCGAGTCAGCCAACGAGCAGACATAAAAGCCGCTCCTTTGAACCGCTTTGGGCAGGTCCGTGCAAACGTACAGCACTAGTGGCGAGAAAGCTCTTCAAAACATCAAAGCGGCTCTGAATCGGAACATTGAGCCCACAGCTTTTACAATACCGGTGATGATGGAGGCTCCACTGGTTCTCACAAAACAAGTCATGACACATTGTACTTATGGAATGTGATCCACAGAGGAGGCGATTGGACGTTTGGGCATATCGTACATGTACCAGATGCGGCCTGAGCTTGCCAACCACCGCAGAAAACTTCTACAGTCAATCGCAAATCTGGATCGCCCTGAGACCATTTCTTAAATCTTACTCTGAGTTTGCTTCTACAGTGCGTCCAGTTGCCGAACACATCGCTTCAACCACTACTGGTATGATAGCACCAACAGTTCCGGCAGGTACTCAATTTGATAACTACTGTAGCTAGCAAGAGCCTGCAAGTACGGTATCTCCCAATCTGAAGCAACTCGGAGCAGGGTAAAATCCATTTCCCTTCCCAAGTGTAGCCTGCAGGCAGGAAAATGAGAAGCAATCCATGTCTCAACACTTCTGATTGATACCACTTTGCTTGCTTCAGAAGTTGTACCACAGCTATTGTCAAGATACTGTAGTTCTTCTCAAGTTGCCAAAATAGATGACTTTCAAAACGTATTTTCCTGTAGCAGCGACCGTAACTCTTGCTTTGTCCTAGATTAGTAGTAGTAGCTATCTTGGAATGACCTTGATTGCTCCAGTAGCCGCAACGGCTCGATCCCTCTCCAACTTAGTGAAATTGATGACAAGCAAGCCACCCACGGAACTGCAGATAGCTGGGAGATGCCTTGTACATAATACCGGTACCTGGTACCAGCTCTTGATCTGCGTTGTGGTCCTGGAAAAACCATGGCTGACTGCAATTGCTTGATGTAACTATCTGCGGTACCGGTAGCTGGGAGATGTCTTGCATGCACACCTACTCCGGTACCGTACTGCCGGCACCTTAGGGTGGAACCACTTGCTCGAATGAAAGGAGAGGCCACCTAGCCATCGCCAGATAATATTTCTTCTCTCTCAAGTTGCCGCCAAGATCTCCTGTGGTATAGCGACGAAACTCTTTCGTCCTCCGATATCGAGGCTGGAAGACCAAGATGTAGAGTCGTCACTGCTCTACCGGCTTTACAATTGGATCCTTGGTGTCAACTGACGTCAGTGTCGCGATCTTTTCAAAAGGAGAGCCCATGGCATTGCTGTTGCCCGCGAGGAACGGCATTTTTTAGTATTCGTGCCGTTGATATCCACTGTACATTGTGCAGTGATAGAACCGTCTACCTAATTGAAGCTACCGTATCTATTGAGTAGAGTTACACCCCATCATCCTTTATTGATCGTTCCAAAAGAAGCGAAAAACTTTGCAAGTTTGCAAGCTAAGATGGTACCCTTGTTGGGCTTGTTCCGGCTTTCAGTCGTCGGTCTGATGGCAGTGCTCATGATGATGATGGGCTCGTTCCATCATATTCATCCTGTGGCTGCCTTTGTGATTCCCCACTCGACGCTTAATACACGTCACCAGCTTGGTGGTCCACTCAATCAACTAGATCCCTTCCAACAACAGCAGCAGAAGACAAAGAGAAAGATGGAACTTTTGTTTCCCTTGTATTCCAGCAATCCAAATTCTACCGACACCACCTCCACCTCCACTTCTGATAGTCCTCCTGCTTCACAGCTGGAGTCCATTATTATGAATGCCAAATCCCTCAATCCCATTCGAAAATTGACTTCTTCCAAAACGAAGGACAGCAGCAGTGATGAAGAAACACCATCCGATTGGAAGACTTCTCTCGCGACATTCAGTCAAGCCAGTATTGCCGGATTGTCCGTCGCATTGGCCATGGTCCCGGAAGCGGTGGCATTTTCCTTTGTGGCAGGTGTCAATCCATTGGTGGGATTGTGGACCACCGTCGCCCTTGGGTTTACCGCAGCCGCATTGGGAGGACGGGCCGGTATTTGTTCCTCCGCCAGTGGCGCGTGTGCCGTCGTTGTGGCTGGATTATGTGCACGGCATGGACCCGCGTATTTGAGTGTGTGTGCCATAATGGCGGGTCTCTTGCAAATTACGGGAGGATTGCTGGGGTTGGGCAAATTCATTCGATTGGTGCCACACAGTGTCATGTTGGGATTTGTCAATGGTCTGGCACTGGTCATGACCAAGGCGCAGTTGGTGCATTTTCAGGGTATGAATCCCTTTCAGAGTGCGGCCGGACAAGCCATGTATGGGATTACGGCGTTGACCATGATACTCGTGAAACTATTGCCACGCGTACTACCGTTTGTGCCACCCACATTGGGAGCTGTGGCCATTTCTACGTTGGTGGCCAAACTGGCCAAGTTACCCGTCAAGACATTGGCCGATGTAGCCGGTGCTAGTACATTCAAGGGTGGATGGTCCGTTGTGCCACAATTTGCCTGGTGGCCGCCCAAAGGTGTCCCATTCAGTTTGGAAACGCTCAAAATTGTCTTTCCGGTAGCCGCCACCATGGCTGCCGTGGGATGCATTGAAAGTTTACTCACGATGCAACTACTCGATGGTATGGTCGATGATGGCAAGCGGGGGAGTACACGCAAGGAATGTGTCGGTCAGGGTGCCGGAAATGTCATGGCCGGACTTTTTGGAGGCATCGGTGGATGTGCCCTACTGGGACAATCCATTATCAATGTCCAATCCGGTGGTGGTGTCAGTCGGTGGAGTGGCATGAGCATGGCACTGTTTTTGGGGATTGGGATTGTGGCAGCCGCTCCCTTGTTGGGGGCTGTTCCCGTGGCATCCCTCGTCGGTGTCATGTTGCTCGTGTGTCAATCCACGTTTTCCTGGTCGTCGCTCCGATTGCTGCGCAAAATCCCAGTGTTGGATGTGGCTGTCATTGCCTTGGTCAGTGTCGTTACGGTACAACGGGATTTGGCACAAGCCGTCTTGGCAGGGACCATTGCTTCGGCATTGGGATTTGCATGGAAACAATCGACACGGCTCACGGCCACGTCGGAAACCAACAAGGCGGGCGAAGAAAAATACTATCGGTTACAGGGACCCCTCTTTTTCGGATCGACGCAACAATTCCAATCGCTGTTTGATTGCCAGAATGATCCAAAACGTATCATTCTCGATTTTGCCGATAGTCGGGTCATGGATCATTCGGCGCTCGAGGCAATTCACAGTTTGGCCGATGCCTATGGAAGTGTTGACAAGACTGTCACGTTACGACGATTGTCCCCCGATTGTGCCAAACTATTGGCACGCATGTATCGATCGGGGAAACTGCCGCCCTATGAAATTGTGGAATCGGATCCCAATACAGACCCCGAATACGGTTTGGCAGTCAACTACAATCAGTAATAGGACAGTAGTGCGGGTACTAGCTAGCTAGCAAAGTAACTTTTTGTAGAAAACGACAAACGATGCAACCAAAATAAAGATGCCAAGTGTGCACCCTGCGTAGTCACCAGACCCAATACCTATTGGATTGCGTCATGCAGACCTACTAGCTAGACACAAACTGATCATCCACTATTAGGGCTGCTGCAGAATCTGGCGCTTTCGCCGTCACGGTGGTTGAGAGGTTTCTCCCCCAGCCCCCAGCCAAAGTTGAATGCTGCCTTGCAGGTTTGTACCGATACTGGTTTCTCTCTTTCCTTCCCCTCTACTACAGCTAGCTTTCTCCAATAAGATCATTCGAATTCGCACAACATGAACCAAGAAAGTTTCGCACTTTTTGTGGTGAAAGAGAGTCTCTGTGCGACTGCCTGCAGCATGGAGGAACACTTGGAGGGCCAGTATGGCCTCTGTCATTCTCATGCAAGCTTCTTTTTGCGCCATGTCCTACATGTAGTCCTACTAGACCTGGCGGAAGGCCATCTCACTGGATAGCTAGAAAGCTAGATCTCCGAATGCTGGCTAGCTAGGAAGGTTATCGTTATCGGTACATGTCCTGATGTACGGTAGCCGATGGTGTGGTCGTCTTACATGCACGGTAGCTAGTCATAATATTCTAGAATCAGTTCTGAGTACATGTACGACTGTACCGTACCACTGTCTTACTACATGTAGAAGTAGCGGTACCGGTCTTCGGGCCCAGCCGAAAAAATCTCCTGTACAAAGTTGCATTGTAGCCGAAGACCCAGTAAGAGCCTGGACGGTTCGAGAAGCTGTTCCACTGGTACCGTACCGTACGAGGAGCACTGACCAGTCTGGCCAGTCAGCCACTCGCCACTTGCCACCAAACAAGCAAGCGGACAAATTCCCAAGCCGCGAACGAATACAGCACAAACCTTGGCAACTCTGCAAAGAGCTCATAGTCTGCAAAAGGCAACAAAATAAAACACCCCAGCCAGGATGACAACAATGAACCCGCAAACAGCTATGAGGCAAACCTTTGCCAGTCCAAGGCAGAGCCTGGCCATGGTCGAAACAATGAGGCAATCAGTCTCTAATTTGGACAACTTGAGCAATGTACCCCACGTGGGGATCCACGATGCCAATGAGGATTCACTAAGTGAACTAAGCATTGGCACCAGTAGCGATGAGGAAGTTAGCATAGGTGACAGCAGCGACGATGAAATCAGCATTGGTGACAGCAGTGACGAGGACAGTAGCGATGAGGAATTAAGCATTGGAGACAGCAGCGACGAGGAACTGGAAGCAGAGAATGAGGAATCAAAGAGTGGTGAAGCTGAAGCGAATCAGAAGGTTGTTAAACCCAGAAAACCGAAAACCAAGAAAGTGCGACGGCCCGTTCGTCGAGTTAAGTCCGCTGATGTGGCACATCCTGCTGCTCTCAAGAGAGCTTCTACCTCCGATGATTCTTGCCCGCATTGTCATTGTCATAAGACCAAAAGTCGAGGTGTACGCAGGACTAAGAGCTTGGTTGGACAAGGGGATGATCTACCAGTGCACTCTTCCTCTCACCGTGTCACAAAACGACGGTCCCATCGCCGCACAACCAAGAGTGTTTCCACGGCTCCCATTGCTCGAGGTCAGCGTGGATCTTCTCATAAGCGTGTTAGCAAAGGTACCACGAGGAAGAGGCTCTCAAGGAGTCTATCTCCAGCTCGAGTTTCACATCACTCTGGACTCAGCTCGACACATCGTCGCCGTACAAGGAGAACTAATACTGGAGCAGAGGCCACTACTGTGTCACGTCACAGTCGTCGCAAGAGGCGTAGCTACCGATCCAGGGCCAATGACCAGATAGCACGAGCATTGGACGAGCCGTCAGAACCACCAAAAGAGGAAGACGCTGGCAGTGATACAGAAAGTGGGGAAGAGTTTGCAGAAGAAGTCAATGAGAAAAGTACATCAAAGTTGAACCCAGGAAGCATCTTTTCCCAAGTGACAAAAGCCACAAGCAAGCTGACTAAGCAAGCTGTGAAGGTTACTGAAAAGGTTGTTAGTGCTGTTATCGAAACCACAGAGAAAAGCTATGAGACCATAGTTGGTGATAGCACAGGCTTTTCATTGCCAGCGCAAGCGCAGGCGGCATAAAGCAACTCGACTTAGTTATAGTTATATGGATACCTAAAAAGAGTCCAAATTTTGTGAAATTTGATACCACAGTGCAAGATTCGTACCGGTACCCTACAACCTGATAGTCAGAGCGAATTGCTACCTCAACAGAGAGAGTGATTTAGCTAGCTCCGTACTCAACGTGGATTTGGGGCTGGAATACCCAGGAGTCTACTGACGACTTGACTGCTGATCACCCCCGCTGGGCGAGACTGCAAAAGATGGCAAAAGCCAAGGCCACCGCAGAAGCATTGCTCCACCTATCGGTACTGAGTACCTGCTACAGCCACTTCTGGCTGGCCAGCCCGCTGGCAAACTCTAGCTAGCTAGATATCGCTCGTTATGGTCATTCACTGCTGCGCATCAAAAAATCTCCTGTAAATGAAGACCCTGCCAGTAGGTTCTCACAAAGACTGCATGATCTACAGTCACACAGTCAGCTCCGACAGAAAACACAGTCTTACAAGGGTAGAGAACCCACGATGCGACGAACCCAAAAACGCTGTCAAATCCAAGTCAGAGGGCAGAGGCTGGCCAGTGTTGACAAATTCTTCGATGAAAGACGGTTCTAGCTAGCTAGCTATTGGTACCATTCCGAAAGTCTCAAAGTTGCTTGTCGTTCGAGTCGAGTCATCTTTGACGCTGTCGGCAAGACCCAACTCTGCCGGAATTCAATCTCCAGCAGCAAAACTACTATGTGCAGCATGCAGCATCCCAATCAGTTTACCAAACAACCACTGATTGAAGTCGGGTGTGGAGCTCATGGTCAAGTCACTGCGGTTGGTCATGCATCCAACACAGTTAGTTAGTTGGAGGAACTCAGTGAGCTACCGGTATGGTACCGAACACAGTGTACGGTATGGTACTGGTACCGGGTAGTCTTGAGTGAACCTCTTTTCTACCCTCACGTCTTTGCCAAGCTGTAGTTTTATAGCTCCGCTGGATTAAACCAGCCAATCCGACCGTTGGAAGTGTTCCGATGGGGCACGTGGAGCAAGCAACGTTGCCGTTTTTGCAAATCCACTTTCGTGGAGATCTCTTGCGTGCCTTCATCTCTCACAACGACCGTGCCACTCCTCATAAATTGGACATTGGACCATAAGCATCCACCATGATGAGAGCCTTTCTTTTCCTCTCGTTCCTTCCCATGCTATCACTCCTGTCGGAAGTGGTAGCATCCTCTTCGGCCAATGATATTGGTTCCTGCCGTGCCGTCTACGATCACAATGGCGTTCCATTTTGCGTCCTCCCTCCTGATGAGCAACCAGCGTGTGGACTATGGATGGCACCTTCCACGTTGGGCGAAGGTGCCAATTTGGGCATGTACGCTGGAGTCGACATTGATAAGGGCCACGTGATTCAGAAAGAAATTGCCATTCCCATTGCCTTTCGAGATTGGACGGGTCCCGATTATTTTTGGCAACTTCCTGAGGTAGATAAGAGTGGCGAAAAGGACGATGGCGCGCTGTGGTACCGTTATATTTGGTCGGGATGGGTGGCCGATTTGGAAACGTACCAAGAAACCAACCTTCAAGCCAATAAGGTCGTTTTTGTGCCCGGCATTGGATGTACCATTAATAGTATTCTCGAAATGAGAAATGTACAATCCACGCATGGCTCTACATATGATACAGCAGGATTGACACGGGGAGATCCAAGCGCTGGAGCCTTTTCGCCCTATTATGACAGTCAAACCAAGAGTGTCAGATTCATACCAGCGGGAAGTGAAATATTTGCCGATTATGTAAGTATGTACTGCAGCCAGCAATCTACTCTTTGAAACAGAGAGTCTGTCTACCGGAACTTGTCAACTCATTCACTAATCTTTTCTTTCTTTTTTCATTTACAGGGCGACGAATGGATTCCCGACATTCCAGGTGCTCAAATCACGTTCAATCTCGTCATGGATCGGGCCGAGGATTTCTTGCGAGATGAGTACTTTCCCTTTGTCCAAAAGCACAACCTGCCACCCAATGTACTGGAGGGACTCTGGAACTTTACCCGAGATTTCCCACATTCGCAACCCGAAACCTTTACCGTATTGCCACCATCCAAATTTCACTGGAATGATATCCAACAAGCCTACCATGACTTATCCTTGCCAGCACAACAACAAAACAATGACAATGACAATCATCAAGACTACTACAAGGAACCATCGTCACTGATTCGACACTTTATTCGACAAAATGGCAAACGCAACATGGACTGGCTGGTACAAGAAGGACGATGCTGCGATTACATGCGAACGGGGGTTTCCAACATTCCACATGCCGGACGAGGTGCCTTTGCCACGCGCGATTTGCCAAAGGGAACCATTGTGGGCTATTCTCCCTTGGTCCATGCCGGAACGTTTGGATTGGATCTCTACAATGTCCCCTACACCATGGGCAAGAATTCTACCAACAACAGTTACAACAAATCCGACTTGGTACTCAATTATGCCTTTGGACATTCGGCATCCACCGTTCTCCTCAATCCCTACGGCAGCATGGTCAATTACATTAATCATTCCCCGCAACCCAATGTCCGCGTCGTCTGGCCCGACCGGGAATTGATTGCTCACAAACCAGAATGGGTTACAACCAAGGATATCCCATTCTTGACACATACGTTTGAAAAGATTGGACTCTCGTTTGATTACATTGCACTGCGAGATATTGCCGAGGACGAAGAAATCGTCATGGATTACGGACGGGAATGGGAACAAGCATGGGAAGCACACGTGCAGAATTGGAAACCACCCAAAGATGCCGACACGTATGTGCATTCGAGTCAATGGAAGAACGAAACCATGTTGCGGACAGTCGAGGAACTAAAAGAGAATCCCTATCCACCCAATCTACACACCATGTGCATCCCGGCGTATATTTGGAATGCCACCAAGAAGGCGTACTTGTACCTGCCCTTGGAGCGAGACTATGTCGATCGCGTTCGATGTCGCATCTTGGAACGACGACAACACGTGACCGATCCCGACAATCACCCCGAAGTCTACACGGTCGAGCTCCTGTTCAAGAAGAATCGACACGTACGAACGCTCAACTTTCCTCGGTCGGCCATTTTCTTGACGGATCGCGTCATGAGTCAAGATTGGCACTTGCCCAATACGTTTCGTCATCCGATTGGGATCCCGGATGATATCTTTCCGCCTCAATGGAAGAACAAACTGGTAAAACTGGAGGATGTAGATGAGAAGAACGAGGAGGAATCGTAGAGATCCACGAGGATAACTGATGGTGGCCACGATGAAACAAAGAAACGAACGAAGAAACAGAAATAACTAGAAAGGGAAGAAAAACTCGAACAGTCCAAAAGGCCATTGGAGTTGAAGCAGTCTTTTGAGGGGCAAGTAAGAGATACGAAATAAGACTTTCTTCACTTCATTCTATGCCAGTACAATACCGGTAGAGAAGACCCGTTCTGAATCTACGTTTTATCTATACACCTGACAAGACTACTCTGGAGAGCTTCTGGAGTAAGGAAGTGTTAGCAGGCAGGCAGGAAGAGCCCCACAGGGCACGGGGCCACAGGGAGAGCCCGAAGGTGATGTCCTTGTAGTTTCATTTTAGCGTCATTGGTACGGTACGCCTTTCATGCCAAGACCGCCTTCTTCGGTACACCTACCAGTACATGTATCTGCGCGACGACCTTCTTCGTTCCTCACCGAAATACCTATATCATCAAAGGCTACATGTACTTACCGGTGAGATCCTTCGCGATGTCGATCTCGTGGGATGATCTTGGTACTTGGCTGACAGTGAAAGCTCGAGTTTCGGCCCGCTCCGTGGAAGTAGCCCTTACATGCTTACAACGGGCTACCTATATCATCAAAGGCTGCCTGTACTCACCGGTGAGATCCTTCGGGATGTCGATCCTGTGGGATGATCTATGATCTTGGCACTTGGCTGACAGCGAAAGCCCGAGCTGCGCACCGTGGAAGTAGCCCCTCGAATTGATACCGCATACGGATACTGGCACTATGCTTGCAATAGCTCTTGCAACTGCTCTGCCTGAGGGGAGGAGTAAGCGGATGGTACGATCCACAAATATAGCTTCGAACTCCCAGGAGCAACGCAACACCAACTAAAAATCCCAACCCGGCAGATTCGTTTTAGCTAGAATTTTACAACGGGCACCACGAACCAGTTCAGCTATCCACCGTTTTGGTCTCCGAGCAGGTCAAACAAGAAGGCAGAACATTTCTACAACGCTAGGACGCCAGGAAACGAAACTCGGTCGAGGCAGCTCAGTCACAGATGTGCATGCACTGAAAGGCAGAGGGCAATGAATTAGCTCTCGTTCCCACTGTCTGCTCCGGGTTTCTTCTTTGGAGGTTGAAGGTCGTTGAAGATGGGCTTCCTTTGCCGACCTAGTTCTCACTGCAACAACAAAAATAAGGACTGGGCGCCAGAGGAGCGTCGCCACTCCCTTGCGATGGCAACTTCAGCTGCCACAACTCCCAGTTGCTGGGCAAGACTAGAGTCTAGATAGATAGCTGTCATGATCAAGACCCGACAGTCTTAGTCCAGGTCAATAAGTTGCTTAGGCTCCTCCCACCAAGTTGCAGGTACTTGTAGATAAGTCCTCCACACTCATGGATAAGTCCATCACTGTCACAAAAGGGAGGATCTAAGTGGAGCCTTGCTTTGGGAAAGTAGAAAACACCAATTTTTGTCTTTGAGTGAACCTTGGAAGAGCACACACGGGAAGGCCGTGTCGTACATGCAGATACGATTGCCATAGGATCTACCAGAGTGTACTCGGAGTAAAGGGGAAGGAGAACCCGAGTCGATGAACGCTGCCTTGAACGCTTTCTTGTGCTGCTCTCCTTGTCTTGAACAAAGAGTCCTGGACCGTCCGACGGTTTTCCTCAGGCTTTGAAATGCGCGCGACTGACTCATTATCCCAGTTCTCATTAGGGGGTTGTTTAAGGGGATGTTGAAGCTTTAAGGGGTTGTTTAAGGGGATGTTGAATATTTAAGGGGTTGTTGTTAAGGGGTTGTTTATTTAAGGGGATGTTCATTCGTGATAAGGGGTTGTTGTATTGCGTTTCAATGAAGGCTTAGGGGGTTGTTTCGAGGATATAAGGGGATGTTGTTAGGGGGTTGTTTATTTAAGGGGTTGTTTAAGGGGATGATGAAGCTGTAAGGGGTTGTTTAAGAGGTTGTTTAAGGGGTTGTTTAGAGGATGTTGTCAGTCGTGGCAATTTGAAGATTTTTAAATCCTGAGTGAAAAGGGTCGGACGGTCCAGGATTTGGCGGGGCCGCCTATTAGCTGGTTTTTGTATGCAGTTTTTGAGTTCTCCATTTAATTGAAAAGCTCTCAATGAAGATGATTAAATTTTGCGCTTAATTAATACACCTATCCACACTTTACAAAGCGATGTGAACATGTGAACTGCTACTACTGGTAGTACTTATCATCGTGCATCAGAAGGAACAAATAGGGATTTATTATCGTGTGTTCAGGCGGTTCGATGGAGCAGAAGGTTCCAATGAGTTAAAGCTGAAGGTCCCTCAGCGTAGCGTGACGTTTTAGTACTTTGACATTCCCCTGGTGAACTCTGACAAAATAAAATAAAAATTTAATGGATGCAAAGGAGCTGTACCGCTGTACCGGCTCCGTACCGCTGTTGTGCCGCCCTGAAAGCTCTCTGAAACACCATGAGCTCACCGCCACATGTAGTCTATGTTCCTCAGATTCGCAAGGAAGCTCCCAAGGATCAGATGATGCAACGATGCAACCTGCATACAGCATCTTACCATCTCACAACCTTTGCGTGTTTGGTGTCAGGCATTAACCACAACCCACCATGTCATTTATTTGGATCGTTTCAAAAAGGTTGATTTGACATTGAAATAAATGGCTCTTCTCCAGGAAAGTTGCCCTTATTTCAAAAGCTGAGTTAATGATCCCTCAGACCACCATCGCTTCTTACTCGTCAATAAATCCAAGAAATGCCTGGACTCCCGGAATATGTATTATTTAGAATCTTTCATACAAGAATGAAGGAAGGAATTGCAAAGGCTTATTACTAAGCTACTGTACCACGTTATTCTAGAGAAAAATATGTTTTCTTGGAGTTGGGGCATTTATTTTCGTGGAGTGTTGTTTCTGAGGTCCCTGGTACAGTACGGTCACCACGTTTAAGTGAAGTGACCGTAAAAAGGTAAGAATGGGAACGCTGTATGGTACAGCTGAGGCTATGGGAGAATCAGCAGAGGCCAAACAGACTGTGCAGTTGCCGTGCTACAGATTACAGATACAACAAGCAATTGCCAGTTGCCAGTACAAGAGTATTCTTGCCTTTCCTATGCTTATGTATGTACTCCAGCTAGTAGCAGCTACTCTAGCTAGCTAGCTGGAGTGCTCTATTTAGCTAGGGAGCGGCAGCAGCGGCCGGTTGTGGAAAGGACCAGGTCATCAAAATTGCGCTTGCGGTAGATCTCTCTGATCGGCTTCGCTTGAACACATGAACAGCACAACCTAATTCGTTGAAATATCGGGTGGGGTGGAACATAGGACGTTTCTAGCCTGACAAATTCACATTTGCATCCTTGGTCCCAGCAGTGTGGTTGAGGTCCCTCGCAAGCCCAACAGATCTCTTCATCTCAGATCCTCACTCTTGATCTTCACGATCTTCACTTCCTTGTCTCACAATTTCAAAAAGGCCAAAAGTTACAAGAGGATTCCACAACTTGAAAACGCACCAACACCACGCCACATTTACAAAAGGAAATCATGATGTTCCCCTCCAGAGCTTCGCAACACCTTAATCTTCTGTCAGCCTCCCTGCAATCCAACAACAACAATGGCGCCACCACCAATGACCTCCAATCATCATCTGCTGCTAGCAGTCGCACTCCATTGGCTGCTGCCCCTGTTCCTGCCAACCTCACCGTCCAAGATCTCCTCGAAGACGCACGTCGCAGAAGCCAGGTACTTCCTTTGATGGGCAGCAGCAGGCCCGCCCTTCCCACAAGTGTTCTGTCTGCACCATCCTTGGCCACTTCGTTGCTACCACACTCTCCCGATACAGTCCGTCGCATGGACCTGGATGCTCAGCTCCTGACCAGGTCCAGGCAGCTTGCCGACAATGCCCGTCTCATCAATGACGCCATTCGCATAGAACGTGAAGCTGCCATTCAAGCCCTTTTGCAAAGTGAACAGCAGCAGAGGCTGCTAGAGGCGCAACGGCGCGAGAGTCTGGCAGATCAACTTTGGGGAGGCATTCGTCACTCCGAACGAGCTGGGTTGCCACCCGCTGCCACTTGGCCTCTCGTAGCTGCCTCGTCGGGATTGGTTTGTGGTGCTGCAACACCTACTGTGGGAGGAGCAGATGACATTTTCACCAATGCTGCCTTGCGCCACCGTCTGCTGGCATCCAGTCAATTCTCGGCAGGAGCAGCCCTCACTAACCGATTGGCATCCACTCCCAGCCCCACATCACATCATGCCCGGGTTGGTTCGCCTCGTTTTGCGGCACTTCCTACTGCCAGGGAGCACCCACAGTCTCCCGCTTCTTCAATGGACAAAAAGATGCCAGCCAAGGCATCGCTCCAGCAAGTCGTACCGGAACCCACCAAGGCTCCCCTTCCCAATGCTCTTGGAATCGAACAGGATACCAATTGGCTCTCTCAAAATCAGTGTGTGGTAAGTTAGTTGCTTGTTGGGATACTGTTGTGTTTTTGTGTGTGGATTGAAGCTCATTTTCATGGGTATTTTCGTTCCGTTTTCCTTTTAGCTCCGAGCCGAATTCATTGAAGTGGCCAAGGCCACACGAAATGACTTTAGCGGGCTCGATGGTGGTTCTGATGCGCAGAGTTATGAACAGGTTGGCATTCGTTGTCGCTACTGTGTAAGTCAGCATTTGTTCTTCCCTTGTGAATTGTTTGTTATTTTCTGGTTGAAAAAAGAAAACTCACTCCATCGCTCCCCCACTCTCTCTCTTTCTCCAGGCTCATGCTCCAACAGGACAACGCGCTAGCCGTTCGTCTGCCTTTCCCTCGAGCATTACCCAGCTCTATCAGTCGTTTACCATGATGCAACGCGATCATTTTCACAAATGCACCATGATTCCCCTGGAACAGCGACGTCATTTGGAAACGCTGCGGCGCTCCAACACACAGGGCGCCTGCGATTCCAAACAATATTGGACGTATGCGGCCAAAACCTTGGGTATGTTTGATACTCCTCGTGGCATTGAAATGAATCAACAAGCCGTAGAGGCCGGACGTCAAATGCCCAATTTTGGAGTGGGAGAAGCAGTAGCAGTAAAAGAAGATTCCAAGGTCTCCAGTTTGGACCAAAAGCAAAAAGTCGACAACGGCGAGCACTTGTTGCTTCAATTTTGCAGCACCGACGCAAAGCTGCCCGCCTATTTGGGTCATCTCCTGACCCAATTGCAAGTGGTGACACTGCTTCCATCGGAAAAGACGGGAAAACGCAAGGCACTTCCGATTGGATTTACCGGATTGGGTTGCAAATGCTGCTCCAAAGCCGGACGGTTGGGGTTTAGCCGGACGTTTCCTCTCCGTCGTCGCACCCTTCCGGCGAAATTGGACGACATGTTGAGCCATCTCTTGCGGTGTCCTCTCACTCCCAGCCACATCAAGTCGGAGCTGTTACTGCTTCAGGGTGGAAATGACGAACGCAAACGTCTGTATCAAAAGCACCACGCCAAGCTGGATGAACTCTGGAAGGTAATGGGACGTGAAGGCGACTTTTGTGCATGAATGAGCGAATGAATGAATGAATGAATGAATGGACCGAACGGGAGGATCGATCGACACCACTGTCATGATCTTGTCCACTCCACTCCAACCTCCACCAGCCTCCAGACATGATGGATGCATGCATCCACAAAGACCTCCGTCCTCGCTAAGGGTCGGGGTTCTCAACTAAGATAGAAGAACGAATTTATCAGACTTGTTGCCGTTTGAATCTCACCTGTGCATGCGCATTCGTCCACAGTCTTCTCTCTTTGCTTGGCAGAGGAAGCTCTCGGTTTTGTCAGGCTCTCTCTTGAGCTGCACGGTGGGTTTGGTTCCTTCGTACCGTAGTCGTAGAATGATAACTTCTCTCTGGAAGACTTTCGCACCGGACCGGACGTACCACAAACCCCCAATGCACCGCCGCAACTTGCTTCGAATCACTGCAGTTTGCTACTGTAGCACCGTACACATTGCAGCATTGCGGGCGCAAAAAGTCCAACCAACCACGGCATACAAAGGTTTCAGCCAGCCCTTGATTGATCAGCCCCATCCCTGATCCATTGAATGATTCAATCATTCAGCAATCCTCTCACGACTTCCCACTAGCTAGCTCGTTAGCTAGCAAGTAGTCCACCCAGCCAGCTTTAGGCCAGCACAACATCATCGTAAACTAAATCCAAAGTATAGCATTTCCGTATCCTCGTCTTCATTTTTGTCCCCTCGTCTCAATCATCCGCCTCGGGTGGCATGGCCGATGGCCGATCCTCTTTACTTTGTGCGGGCTGCGAAACGTTGCTGGGACCGCCTTCTACAGTACCGGTACCTGGTATCAGTAGCCCCGGCTCGATAGGGATAGGGAAAATGGGACTGTAATCGTCCTTGACTGATTCAATCGCTTGGATGGTCACCAAACACGTCACCAAACGTAACCATGGAGAGTGTTTCTCAACCGTGACCATGGAGATGGCCGTTTGTCAGCCTCGAAAGGCTTCCTCACTTTTCAACGAATCTCTTGTTCGACTCGACTCTCCGACCCTAAATTCTTCTGTGGATTGCAGTAGAGTATATCTAGCTAGTAGTATCATGGTGAGACTCCTCCAAACAAGTAGCAAAAAGCTGGGTTCCTGTGGCGGTAGTAGTGGACGACCATGTTGGCACTTGGTGCTGGTCTACCTCTTGGGGTTCCTTAGTGCCAAAGGACTCGATATGGCGTTCCAGATTGAAGGGTTGGTGCAAATGCTAGAGTCTTCTGGCATTTCCATTTCCAATGAATATCGAAAGACGGCCGTCACCAAGGCATGCCCGGAATGTGACTGTACTAGTACTACTACTACAAAGAATAGTAGTACAGCACCAAAGGAAAAAGGAGTGGTCAAGACAGAAGTGGTGGATATCACCAAGACGGACAAGACAGCACAAGCAAAACCTGCCGCAACCGACACTCCTCCTCCACCACCATCCGACTCCTCTGTGGAGACCATTGCTCCCCGAATCTCGGCCTCTCAAGTCACTCACCTGCGAGATGACAATTCCCAATTTGCCAAAATTGTCCAAACCGCCTATGAACAAGCCAATCTGCTGCAAGAAGAAGAAAACACAGCAGTAACATCCGAACAACCACGACAAAAATTAGACATTACATGGTGGGAACAAGAGTCCAATTTGACTACACAAGGAGGACTCCGAACGGCCGATCGCATCTTGTTGGGGGAAATCTATTACCAAGCCAATTCGGTATTTGAATATGGATTGGGGGAATCCACCTACATGGCCCATCATGTCGGTGTGCAACGATATGCCGGAATTGATTCCGATGCCGTTTGGGTGGGCATGGCACGTGACAAGGTGCCACCCCATTTCCGATTCTATTTGGGAGACATTGGTCCCACCAAGTCATGGGGGCAACCCGCACAGGGGTATCTGCCCAAACAAATACTGGATTATCAGTTACTGCCACTCATTGTGGAACCCAAACCATTTGATGTCTATATGGTCGATGGCCGCTGGAGGTTGCCTTCCATGCTGGCCAGTTTTTTGCATGCCAGTGCCAGAGGAGCCGACACAACGAAAACTACGGTATTGATTCACGATTGTGGAAAGACAGAGGGATTGCCACTCCGAAAATCCTACAAAAAGGCCGATCACTTGTTGCAGCTTGTCAATCACTCGGAGGCTCTTTTATGTGTCTACCAGCGCAAACCAGAAACCACAGATGAACAATTGAGAGACTTGTGGATGGGGAACAAGGGCATTGTGCAGAGACGACAGCGACAGCTGCAACAACAACAAGAACAACAATCCACCACGGCCTTTGACGAAATTGTGTCTGTGGCCTATGCCGAGGCCATTGTGGAGCAGCGACCCAAAACACCCAGGCGAACTTTTGATATCAAATATTGGGTACAACACTCGGGATTGACCACCGAAGGCGGACTCAACAATGACGATCGATCCTTACTGGGGGAAATATACTACAAGGCCAACTCGGTGTTTGAGTATGGATTGGGAGAATCTACCTATATTGCCAATCATGTAGGAGTACCAAGGTATGCCGGTGTGGATTCCGATCCAGCGTGGGTGGGAATGGCACGTGACAAGGTGGCACGGTACTTTCGATTCTATTTGGGAGATATTGGACCCACCGGAGACTGGGGGTATCCCAAGAGTGGAAAACTACCCAAACAATTATTGGATTATCAGCTGTCCCCTTTGATTGTGGAGCCCAAACCCTTTGATGTTTACATGGTGGATGGACGATGGAGATTGTCCGGTATGATTGCTTGCTTCTTGCACGCCAGTGCCAGAGGTGCCGATCCCTCCAAGACAACCGTTCTCATTCATGACTGTGACAAGCAGCCCAATCCACTTGGAAGAGTAGTGTACAAAAAAGCAGATCACTTGCTGAAATTGGTCAATCACTCGGGCAACAAGCTGTGTGTCTACCAGCGCAAACCAGACACCACAGATACGCAGCTCCAAGAATTCTGGCATGAGAACAATGACATCATCCTACGGCGCCGGCTGGAGGAGGGTGGGCACGAGTAGACCTTTACAGACGGAGGTGCCCTTTTGAGGACATGAAAACATGTATGTTGTCAATACGGGCACCATGAATATCTTCCTTGCCTCAAACATGCTAGCGGCAGAAAACGATGCTCTCACAAGCAATTGACATTCTCTAATTCATGCAAACTGGGAAGATGTTTCCACAACGCCTCTTCGCCCTCAAACAAACGGCGTGGTAAAACTCTTTGCTAGCTTTGTTCATGGGAAAACACCTCCCTTTTCTCGTCATCCGAGGTAGTTGCCTCAAAGGAGGGCTCTTTCGTTCGTCTACATCTTCGTCTCCGAATTCGTCGCCACGGCATGGTATCACTGTCATCGTTTCTTAGAAACTGGCCCAGCGCACGGGAAAATCCGGCAGTTTTCGAAATTACGTACTCAGAACTGGCTGGGTCTGTTTCCACAGTTCGATAGCGTACAGGAGAGTGAATGACCCCACACTGGAGGTGGTACCAGTGGGTGGTGCTATCTGGTGTCTGGCTCGCTACTAGCTGGCCGTAGCGGCATAGCGTTGGGGGAGCAATATTTCTTTGGGCTTGGCTCTTGGCCACAGGGATGATCAGCTATTGAAGTCGACCGAGTAGAATCCTGGGTATTCCAGCCCCGAATCCACGTTGAGTATGCAGCTAAGTCACTCTATGTTGAGGCAGCAAACTATAGGTTGTACTATGTATGACTGTAGGGTATGAATAAAGCATTGTGGTATCTTGTTTTCACAAAATTCTGGGCTGTTTAACCGAGTTGAGTTGCCTATGCTGCCTGCGCTGGCACTGGCACTGAAAAGCCTGTGCTATCACCAACTATGGTCTCATACCGGTAGCTTCTCTCTGTGCTATCCATAACAGCACTAACCACCTTTTCAGTAACCTTCACAGCTTGCTTCGTCAGCTTGCTGGTGGCTTTTGTCACTTGGGAAAAGATGCTTCCTGGGTTCAACTTTGATGTACTTTTCTCATTGACATCTTCTGCATACTCTTCCCAACTTTCTGTACCACTGCCAGCATCATCATCTCTTGGTTGTTGTGGTGGCTCGTCCAATGCTTGTGCTATCTGGCCATTGGCCCTGGATCGGTAGCTACGCCTCCTGCGAAGACTGTGACGTGACACAGTACCGGTAGATGCTTCTGCCCCAGTACTAGTCCTCCTTATAGGGCGACGATGTGTCGAGCTGCGTCCAGAGTGATGTGAAACTCGAGCCGGGGATAGACTCCTTGAGAGCCTCCTGCGAAGACTGTGACGTGACACAGTAGATGCTTCTGCTCCGGTACTAGTAGTCCTCCTTAAAGGGCGACGATGTGTCGAGCTGTGTCCAGAGTGATGTGAAACTCTAGCCGGAGATAGACTCCTTGAGAGCCTCTTCTTCGGGGTACCCTTACTAACACGTCTATGAGAAGATCTACGCTGACTTCTAGCAGCAGGAGCTGGGGAGACACTCTTGGTTGTGCGACGACTGGACCGTCGTGTTGTGGCACGGCGAGAGCAACGGTGTGTGGGTACCGGTGGATCATCCCCTTGTTCAGCTGAGCTCTTTGTCCTGTGTACACCTTGGCTTCTAGTCATATTATGACAGTGGCGCGGACAAGCGTCACCAGTGGAAGCTTTGTTGTCTACCTTGGGAGCAGGATGTGCCACATCTACCGGTACGGTGGACTTAACTCGACGAACACGCCGCCGCACTTTCTTGGTTCTTGGCTTCCTGGTTTTAACAACCTTCTGATTCTCTTCAGCTTCACCACTTTCTGATTCTTCATTCTCTGATTCCAGTTCCTCATCGCTGCTGTCTCCAATGCTTACTTCCTCGTCGCTGCTGTCCTCATCACTGCTGTCACCAATGCTTATTTCCTCATCGCTGCTGTCGCCAATGCTTACTTCCTCATCGCTACTGGCGCCAATGCTCAGTTCACTTAGATCACATAGTTCATCCTCAACGGCAAAGTGGATCCCTGTCACATGGGGTAGGATGTTCAAATTAGAGACTGAATGCCTCATTGTTTCGATCATGACCAGGCTCTGCCTTGGACTTGCAAAGGTTTGCCTCAAAGCAGTTTGCGGGTTCATTGTCATCCTAGGTGGGTGCTTTTGTTTTGTTGCCTGCTACAGATTATGAGCACCTTGCAAAGGTTGTGGAAAGAGACTGTGTGGCTGAATGCCAGTGCTATACTCTCTGGCGGCGAAGTTTGTTGCCTACTCTATTGGAATGATGGCGAACACTGACTCTGTGTCCATACTAGGTGAGTGCTCCTCGTGAACCGGAATCTTTCTGGGTGTGCTACAATAAAACTTTGCAAAGCAGGTTTTTTGGTTTTTTCGCCCAGCTAAAAGCTGACGGTAAATATCTCGGTAAATAGACTGGAATCGAATCACATAACGGGGTTAGTCTACTAGCTAGTAGGTCTAGTAGCCAGTAGTAGGAATTCCAAGCCGATCCTGATCGACGTACGGCACTCAGAATGGTGACGACCACGACAACCGCACCATCTTCCATGACCGCATCACGCTACCATCATCAGGACAACACGATCAGGACCTTGCCGATAGGCTTCTAGCTAGCAAGCTATCTAGCCAGTACTCGGAGATCTAGCTTTCTTCTAGCTATCTAGTAAGATGGGCCTCCGCCAGCTACTACATGTATGACATGATGGCGCAAGAAGCAAGAAGCTTGAATGAATAATTACATTTTTCAAACATGTGGCAATGAACTGGCAGCAGAAATCCCAGAAACAATGCTCCGCAAAGACGGCCAATTCTCCAATTTATGCAAACTTTGAAGGCAGATATTTCACAATGCCTCTTTGCCCTCAAACACAAACAGTCAAGTAAAACACTTTGCTAGCTAGCCATGTTGTGATCATTACAAGTAGTTGCCTGGTCTACCTTTTTGCTCTCTGCCGTGTCTGCTGATGACTGGTGTCCTCATAGTATTGGAGGGAGGATGGAGCCACCAAGACGTGTTTCAAGGTTCACTAACTCAGCATCTGCAGAGCTATTCCTACGGGGTAGTTTCCTCGTCAACTTTGCAGGGCTCATCGTTTGTTTGCATCGTGGTCTCAAAATTCGTCGCCACTCTTCGTCGTCACGCCACGCCACGGAATCGGTATCACTACCATTGTCTCTTCGAAATGACTCTTCCAGCGCAACCTTTCGGCGACAAAAATGTGGCCCACATCTCCGGCTCGAAGGGAGGTTTTCGAAACGGTAGCCCATGCAGTCCCAGCCAGCCACTTGAAGCTCTCGCATGGGCTGCGTACACTTGCATGGATTGCGAATTGCGCTGCTAATAATCTCAAACCATCTTCCGCTCCAAGGATGAGAATCTTTTGATCCTTTTCCGCTCTGAGGGCATGCATGCATGAAAGAGACTGTCATACGGTAGGCAGTGGGGGTGATAATCAGAAACAAAGCTCACGACGAACGGTGGGAGCATTTATTTGGTGACTTTCAAAGCTGGCTAGTGATGGGCAAATACACGTATTTTAAGTTTTGATACGTATAATACGTATAATACTGTATAATACTGTATTATACTGTATTAACCTATGGTCTGTCCATCTTCCCATGCACATTATGTTGTGCATTCTACGGTTCGAAATAGTCTCATCAACAAGATTGTGAAGATGCTGCTCTATTGCTATGTCAACTTGAGGCTTTCAAAGTCTCTTGAACCATCCGGGAATCAGTCGATGGCAGCTTTTGCAGAGCTCTTACTGCTGATTTAGACCAGTTCTTGGTAGATCTAGGCCTTGATGAGGATCTAGGCCTTGATGAGGATGATGCAGCATCTGTAGCCAAGTCTAGTGGGCCTTGGGAGGGTAAACTGGATAGCTAAGACCTCCAAAATTAGCAGTAGTAGTTAAATACGTATAATATGCGATATTCAAAGGAACAGCATCGAAATTAGCATCCTATGGCAAGGCAACCCCATCAGCACTGTCAAGACCTTCGGGACACGACACTGCAGCCTATGCAACAGGGAGCGACTCGAGATACTGAAACGATCCAGAGAATCACCAGAAAACCTGATCAACTCCTGCAACGAAATATACGGAGCATGCCGACATAAACCTCGATTTCATAAGTACCACAATAGCCCAAGCACTGATGATTCCCAAGGGGGATGAAAAAGTCAAACAACCGAAAAGTTACCACAGAGTAAAGCCTGTGTTTTGGCGATTCGGCAGTTTGTGCTGATCAAGAGTAAAACTACTTTTAAAATTCAGTCACTTTTTGCTAAAATCGTATGATAATACATATGTATTGAAGTTGGGGACCACGTATTATACGTGTATTATACCTATGTATCAATGGGTGTATCAAAGGGGTGCCCATCACTAAAGCTGGCTGGCTGGGACACTGATTTGTTCCTCCCAGGTTCCAAAAAGTCGGCAGATTGACGGTTATACAGCACTGTCGCCCACTTGCAGGTCATGAACCGAACGACCAGTTTTGAGGATGACCAGAACTGCACCTATGCTAGAACCCTCGACACCAACAATGGTCTCCCTGTATTGGCTGAAGCAAAGGGGAGTCCAACTCCATCATTCACCCAGTTCTCTTCTTCGCTATCCTCGGAAGATTCGATGGATTCACGCTACATTGAGGAGAGGGTGGGGGGGTTGGTTCCCTTGCTGGCCTGATCCTATTATTTATTTTGTGATGAAGAGGTAAAGTGGATCAAAGCTGCAACGATGGAACATCTGAAGCGCAGAAAGCAAGTTCCAGAGAGAAGGAATAATATGATCATACAGTAGAAGATGGAATTGCTGGGGGGTGACGTGTCCAAAAGGAAACAGGAAGTTCAAGGAGTTCGCGACATTCATTCAGTGCTTCTTTTTTAAAAGCTCAGGTAGATGATGTAAACAAAGGTTGTGGTTAAATGAATTGATTATAAAAAACTCATCCTTTATTTGTTTACCTCAACTACCTTAACTAGCTCTTATCTGTACCGGTACCTGAGTGCAGAAGTCTTTCCGCGAATGCAACGCAATGAAGTCATGAGGTCACTTTTCTTAGTGTTCAAGGGGCCCCGCAACGTTTAATGAATCCGGGACACGCGACACAGCACCCTATTGCCTCTTATCTCTTACTTCTCTTTTACAATCGCCTTTTTACATTCGAGCATTCGAGTTCCAGCGTGGTACCACTGGTACCGGTGTTGCTTCGAGGCCTATTCATTTTGCTTCGAGGCCTGAGGTCAGAGTAACATTCTAATAAAAAAGTTCATCGGAGCAATAATAACATCCCGGCAATAACCACCACCACTCCAGCCAGGTTCCGTAGCCACAGTTTGCCCCTCCATTGCCTCGGCGACCATTCATTCCTTCAATCAACGAGCGACCATGGAGATGAAGAAGGATCCTTCTGATTCTGTGAGAGCGGAGGTTGCCCGCGATCAAGTCTTGGCACTCTTGTTTGTCGAAAGCGAGGAGGACCGCGGCGCTGTTGACACTACTGCTACAGGTATTGCCGATGATGGAGGAAGCAGTGCCACTGATGCCGAAGCGCTCTCGTCGGCAGACCAAGGTCACCTCAAGCCAGCGGCAAAAGTCACCGAAAAGGAGGCAGCAGCCATCCGTGGTGCTGCGTTCTCGGACGAGGGAGAAAGAGCCCAGGATTCCGACGATGACCTCAAGAAGACAACCGACGAAAAACCGACGCGGAAGGCTCCCCCGGTAGCGTCTTACCCCACTAGCAGCAGAGAAGGCAATGCTCAGGAAGTCCTTCGTCGATGCAGCACCCAAGATCGAGTCCTGCAAATGGTGCTAGATCGTGACGTCAATGAGACCCCCGATGGTGTACCGGGAAAGAAGGACGCCAAAGCCAAGGCTGGTAAGATTCAGACGACCTCGAAAGCCAAATCACAAGAGGCACAACAAAAGGAGTCCAAAGTCACCATGAACGCCAAGGATGCTGCCACCCTACGAACCACCCAACTGACTCGGGCATCCTCGGAAGCCTCTCAACCTGGCGGGTATAGCGTTCGTTCCAGCGGAACCCACAGACTCGATTCCTGGACGTTGACAGTCAACTCCTCCCAAGAGCTTTCGTCGTCCCACCACACAATGAACAACAACAGCAGCAGCAGCCACCACACTGTAATAGTCCCTGCGACAATTCCAAACAGCAGTGTGGTGGAAAGCATTGCCGAAGCCAGGCCCGTGACAGATGAAGAGGAAGCCATTGTGGGAACCGCTCAAGAAGTCACGGAACAAGCTCCCACTACATCACATGCCAAATTGCAGACCCGAAAGACAATCTGCCACATTGCCGTTGGGGCCACTTGTCTGTTGGCATTGATTGTCCTGCTGGGGCTTGTCTTTGGCATCAACAACAATAAGGGAGAGCCAGCACCAACAATGGATGAATCACCAACAATTTCAGCAGCTCCAACCGCTGCTCCCACAATCCTGGCGGACACTTGGGAGGGACTTCTGGATACCACACGCAATGCCATTCTTGACAATCCCCATTCTCCTCAAGCCTTGGCGTACCAATGGGTACTGAATGATCCCAACAGGACAGTGTATCCCGAGTGGAAGATCCTACAAAGGTTTGCCATGGCTACTTTCTACTACAGCACGGGAGGACAAAATTGGAATCTTCAAGACGATTGGCTTAGCTACCATGTGGATGAATGCTCCTGGTACTTTCGAAAGCTTGTCGGGGGAGCGGAAAACTTTTTCTTGTTTGAAGGGAATACCGAAGAAGTGGCAGCAGAGCTTCAGTTTCGAGACACTGTGTGCGATGCCAATGGACGATATCTCCATTTGGTGTTTACGGAAAACAATATGGATGGAAGCATCCCGCCAGAGATTTACCTTTTGCGTGATTCTTTGCTCTATTTGGAAGTTGGGTCCAACGAAAATCTTCGAGGCATGATTCCCTCTGAGATTGGTCTGCTCACAAAACTTCGAAAGTTCTACGCCGACCGAAATCTCCACACGGGCCAAATCCCAACAGAGATAGGACAGCTCACCCTGCTGCAGGAGCTAGAAATTGGCCACAATACCTTTACAGGATCCATCCCTAGTGAGATTGGAAACATGCAAGCCCTGAGCATTCTCAGTTTGCGATGGTGCAAAGAAATTGCAGGTACACTACCAACAGAGCTCTATAGGCTGACCAACATGGTCACATTTCATGTGCATGGTTTGAACAGCCTCCAAAGTGGGAAATTGCTGCCAGAGATTGGCCAAATGACAAAGTTGGAGAAGTTTTGGGTCTATGATATTCCATTCCATAGTTCCATCCCAACGGAAATTGGTTTGCTCTCTGATATGAACCGACTGAATCTGTGGAACTGTTCCATTACAGGATCTCTTCCAAGTGAACTATTCCGGTTGACACACATGGTAAGCCCAGCATTTGATATCGGTATAACATCTTGGCTTGAGTCATGATTCTTGGATCACTGATACTTATCATCCTGTTTGAGCAGAAGAGACTAGACATTGATGACAATTCATTAACCGGAACAATTCCCACCGAATTTGGACTCTTTCCAAGTAAGTTGCTGTGTTGTTCGTCTTTTAAAATACCAATCTCATGAAACCCAGGTTACTTATCAGAGCCCTTGCACTCTTAATGCCTCAACAGGTTTGACCATGGCCTGGATGAATGGCAACAGCTTCACAGGGACTCTCCCAAGCTCAATCTTTGAGAACTGGGGACAGCTCTCCTACCTCAAGCTCCACAACAACAATTTGGAAGGCCCACTGCCATCACAACTAGGCCTTTTGACATCACTCAATCTACTCTGGCTTGCTCATAATGAGTTTTCTGGTAGCATCCCATCAGAGCTAGGGCTCTTGAACAATGTGACTGAGCTGTTTCTCCATGATACTGGTCTGACTGGCAGCATTCCTGAAAGCTTCAAAGAGATGGCTGGGTTAGAGGCACTAACAGTATCAAACACCTCTCTGACTGGTTCCATCCCAAATGGTCTCTGTGAGAATATTTGGGATATGACTTACACCTGCAATGAATACTTTGGCGGTCTGTACTCGTTTTGTGAAGATATGAAGAGGGTCAATTTCACTTGCTCCTCCACTGATCTCTGTGGATGTGATGCATGTGGGGCATGTAACTAGCTAGCTGATGACACTACCGGTACTACTGTAGCAAGCTAGTATTGGATCATAGCTTCATTTAATTAAATGCAATCATAGTTGCTCCTATCGATGGTATTTCTGCATCTAGCTAGCTAATCCAGCTATGCATAGATGGTCTTCGTTATCGGTACCAACAACACAAGCGAGAGAAACCTTGCATGACGATGAAATCCAATCAATTCCGTGAGAAGTTGCATGTCGCCCCTCTTTTCCGTTGCCCTCGAAAACCTGAAAATGGTTCGGCATCAAGTACTAGCTAGTCTAGTATGCATACCGGTACACTCGGTACCATACTGCACAGTACTAGACTATGCTGCAGTAAACGCGAAGCAACCCCCGCGCCATACCATGGTAACCGTAGAGAGTAGGGTGTTCCAGTACTGTTCACAGTCGACCCTGCAGGTACAGCATAATAATTTCGCAGATTCGACAAACGTAGTTGCCCTATTATAAAACCCGCAGTTCACAATGCAAGCAGAGGACAGCACCATGGAAAATCCGGAGCTTGCAGCTCTCTCTTTCGTTGAGGTCCCTGTCGAAAACAAAGAAAATGTATTGTGGCCATGTCTATTGCTAAGCAAAAGAAGCAAGATCAGAGAAGCGAAAGCGGCTATCAAACACGGAGAGAAGGAAGGGGAGGAAGCCGACAAAGACAACAAGGCCTTTGAATCTAGTACAAAAGTTAGCATTTCTGAGGAAGTCCCAGATGATGAAGAACCTCCGCCTTCCCCCGCTCCTCTTCTTGTTTATCAAAGCTGCCAACACGTGGAGGTTGCCTATTTGCTCGGTAAAGCAGGTACCACTCCTGAATCCCGTCGATTGATATTCAATCCAAAGACGTGCAGTTATCACGACAACATGCACATAGCTCTTCAACAGAAAACTCCCCATTTCAAAGAAGCAATGCAAGAAGCGCGCATATTGAAAGATCTGTTTTCGGCGCAGGGGCCGGCAGGTGCAGAATTTGATGTGCCAGAAGGGGAGTCGACTGACATTTTGAAAGATCTCTTTTCCAACGAAGCGGTTGGTGCAGAACCTGATGTACAAGCAGCTGACTTGTTGAAAGATCTGTTTCCGAAAGAACCTGTTGGCGCAGAAGTTTCCCTGTTGGATTCAAGGTTCCCTGACGCGGACCCGGAGTTTTCCGAGTCTAGAGCGGTCTTCGTCCCTGTTCCCTTGTTGGCCGAAAACGACACCACAGTTCCGTGGCCTGGGCTCGTCTTCCACGACATACAACGCCTAGTAGACGGCCTTAAGGCTCGCGGGCTCCTTGGTAACACGATGAACCAATTAAGCATCACGATGTCCGTGTGTAAACTGTGCCAACAGCAAGAGAAATTTCCCTTTGTGTATCTTTTTGGAAATCCACCTGCCGACGTCGTGATGCCCGTATCAACCCGAGGCGACTTGATCCGCTATTCCACTGATCTTTCGGCTGTTCGCCTTCACCAGCAGTACAGCCAAAACGGATTCATGAACGCCTTGAACTGTCTACTTCAAGCGCTCGCTTGGTCGGCACCGAATAAGCATAGTACCACATCTAAAGGGACTGAAACCCAGAAAGTCGAAGTTGACAAATCCACCAACAGCGTAAAGGCCAAGGTCTCGCTTGCGAAGAAGCAAACAAAGAAGCGCCGCAGCGAAACCGTACTGTCGGATGTATCCAACCGCGTGAAGAAGGTGGCAGCGAACAAGAAGTCCAAAAAGCCTAAACCCCGGGCAATCCAGCAGGACGCGAAACCGAAAGAGAAAACTGTGTCATTTGATCCCTTGAGAATGGAACAGTTGCCAACGTTTCAAGATGTCAAAGCGACACTGGAAGACCTGGGATACAGCTTTCGCCCGGACTTGTTCTGTCTACCTGGGATGGACCCAGACCTAAACCCTGCCTCCCAGAAAGGTCAAGACCACTTCCCATCAGAAAGAAGCTTTCGAGAACACCTCTGTAGACATGGCATTCCAGTTGGCAAAGGCAAGAATCCTCGACGTGGTGCTCTCGACAAAAAGCTAGAGGTTTGGGTTGCCAGCCATCGGCTTGCGGCACTTCTTGATGAGCTCCATAGGCCTTTTTCGTCTGTCACCAAGATTCGACCAGATGATTTCCGAGCGATGTTGAAGAACAAGTGCGACATTGAATGGACTTGCAACAAATGGAGAATTGGCAGCAGCGGCGCGAGGCTGGAAGATGAAGACTTCCACAACCAGGTTTCCAAGGAAGGAATACCCTTCAACATCTCAACGCTTTGCGATGAAGATAGGTTGTCTCTGGAGCAATACGTTGGACTGCCAGACTTCCGCCGTTGTCCTTGGACATGAAGCAACGAGGAGGACTGAACGCCGCAGCGCGTAACCCTCGGTGAGGCATGTTGCGCCAGATCGTTGTGGTACATCGTAGTTGTACACGTAGAGTAGAGTTGTACACGTAGAGCAATGCTGTTGTGTATGTGTCCTTGTGCCTCGCTTCGTTTTCGTCCCAAGAACTTTCGTGGGTCAAGTCCTTGGCCAATGGGAGTGTCCCGGCAGCAATGTGATAGCTGGCTCCATGATAGAAGCGGTCGATTGAACTTGCCCATTGCTTCGTTCGGTACGGTAGGGGGCTTTGGTACACGTGTATGAGCTGCTTTCTGTGTTTTCGTCATCAGAACTTTCGTGGGTCGAGTCCTTGGCCAATGGGAGTGTCCCGGCAGCAATGTGATAGCTGGCTCCTTGATAGAAGTGGTCGATTGAACTTGCCCGTTGCTTCGTTCGGTAAGGTAGGGGGCTTTGGTACACGTGTATGAGCTGCTTTCTGTGTTTTCGTCATCATCTCACCTGACTCGACTCTAATAAGCAGAGCAATGTATAGAGGACTCACTCATGCTCCTGTCTTAGACTGCCGACACTGTCAGATAGAGGTAGCCAGGGTTACCTCAGTCTTCGCTCATTGCTCTAGCTAGGCACCCAACCAAAGGCAGAAGCTGATCACGGGCCCAATCGCGAGATGCCGGTACCCACCACCCGACCCACCCTGGCTACCGGTATTCAGTGTTTGGGTTCCAACAGCTCCGGGTCGGTGCATTAGCTAGATAGCACCAATCCCAGACTGTTGTCCAACTCTTGCACTATGGTTCGGACTAAGCACAATGAGGTAGAGTCCAGTGACAGTCTACCGGTACCGTATGCGTTGAGCTGCCTTGGTGGTCCCCAGCCTACAGCGCGATCCTGCTGTAGGCATAGCAAAAACAAATTTTTTGTGTTAAGAAATTTTTTGTGGTTATCTTTGTTGTGTTTTGTTATCTTGTTTATATCCTCTTTGTTGTTCTGTTCTGACTTTGCGTTTTCCAGGACTTTGTGTTTTTCGAGGACTTGGCGTTTTTCGTGACTTTACCACTGCCAGTACTGATTCTACACAGATTCGTGTAGGATGTGGTCTTTTTTCAGGCTAGTGGCTTTACTAGCTAGCTGTAGCTAGCTAGTAGTGGCTTTTCCCCTTGCCTTTACGGCAATGCCGCAATGCGGCAATGCGGCAATGCCACACTTCTTCTTTCTGCGAAAGATCCTCTCTGCGTTTTCTGGATATTTTTAAAGATTCCGTCGACTTAAAGATTCCGCTCGACCTTGTATGCAGGATTCCGTCCTTCGTTTATACCAGTATCAATGTTCCAGTGAGCCAGCAGGTGGTTCCAAGGTTGAGAAAGGTAGAAACACCCAAAACAAAGGGAAAGACAGGGTAACACGTAGAGCCTGGTACTCCATGTACACGGTTGTATTCCTGGTTTGTCAGGGAGCAGATACCAGTACATGTACCGGTACCTTTACCGTACCATACCGGTAGGTACGACTGTATGCATAGCTGGATAGTCCCATCGTACACTTTTGTAGTATCGTAGCTGGAGAGGGAATTAACTGCCCGTGTCGCCCTTGTCGTTTCTGAAGTACGTACCGGTACGGGTACTGTACTGTGGCTACCGGTAACTATCTAGCGGGCTGAAAATATTGGCGGAGGACGTGACGCACCAAGACTACATTGCTACTTAGCAGCCCATTCTTTCTACTCGAGGGATAACGCTTCCATAAGTAACTGTTGATGAGTCTGCTTCAACGCGAGATTTATTTAAAAGTGACCGGGAGGCACTGGAAGAACAAACCTCCAAAACTAACAATAACAAAGGAATTAGGAAGTCTAGACGCCATGTCTGTCGGTGGTTGTATCCAAGAGTTGGTGGTACTAACGAAACAATCATTCAGTCGGGAATTCACATGCATGATTACTACGGGAGATGCTGGGCCACTTTCCTCACCATCGTCCTCATTAGTCTAGATAGACTACCTTGGCGATTCCTCTGCAAAGGCATCATAGGACATTATTACAGCATCATCTTTCATACATTGGATAGCAAATATGAGATTTCTACCTTCTGCAACGGAAGAGTCCACTGAGAAGCAGCTAGCCGACAAGAAAGCTGCGGCAGTCGAGGAATCATGGCTGCAGGCATGCCAGGATCAGCACGAGCCAGCGATACTCGAAGACATTGCGGAGGAGCATGTCGAAGACAACGCCGAAGAAAACCTCAGCGGTATAATGCCCATGCCCATGCCAGCGCCAATGCCAATGCCAGCGCCAAGACGAAACACGACGCTTCGCAGTATGTCGGCGCCTGGTATTTTCTCTGTCAGAAACATGGAGGCTCAGCGAATTGAAAGGGGGCGAAGGACGTTGACAGCACAACCACATACTGCATTGTTCTCTAGTAGTCTCAGAAATAGACATGAAAACGGGTTCCATGATAATGCCACAAGCGAAATCCTGCCGGAAGCGATGCGAATCAGTGAAAGCGGAGCTGCTCCAGTACTTGCTCAGCTAGTCAGCCCTGTGCAGCTAGAGTTGCCCTCAGAAGACGGAAATATTGAAAGAAGAAAGAGAATCTGTCTCTGTGCTGTTGCTGCAAGCTGCTTGGTGGTATTTGCCGTTGTGATGGGGTTATGTTTTGGCCTTGGCAATGACAAGCAAGAACAATCGTCACAGGATGAGGTATCCCCCAAGACAGAATCTCCTACTGCTGCTCCAACAATTCTTGCCGACACATGGGATGGGCTCCCAGATGTCACAATCACCGCCCTTGAAGATCCCAGTTCTCCTCAAGCAATGGCCTATGATTGGGTTTTGAACGACCCCAACAGGACAGTTTATCCCCACTGGAAAATTCTCCAACGTTTTGCTTTGGCTGCCATCTATTACAGCACTGGAGGGGACGGCTGGAACCTCCAGGAGGGCTGGCTCAGCTATGGAGTGGATGAATGCTCCTGGTACGTCAGGAAGCTCGTCAGTGGTGAACGGGACTTTTTCCTGCATGAAGGGACTATTGAAACAAGCTCAGGACCTTCGTTTATAGCCTCTGCCTGCAATGCTGAGGGAAAATACGCATACTTTGTTTTCACAGAAAACAACTTGGAAGGAACACTCCCACCAGAGCTTTCTCTCTTGAGCAATTCGTTGCGGTACCTGGAAGTTGGATCCAACGAAAACCTTTATGGTACGATTCCATCTGAGATTGGTCTGTTAACAAACCTCCTGAGGTTCTATGCAGACCGAAATCTCCATTCCGGCGAAATCCCCGCAGAGATTGGAAAGCTCTCCCTGCTTCAGGAACTTGAATTGAGTCACAATCCATTCACGGGATCAATCCCTAGTGAACTGGGCAAGATGGAGGCTCTCCGCCTGCTTAGTGTGGGTGAATGCCGTCAACTATCCGGGACACTGCCAACTGAGCTATACAGCTTGACAAACATGGTCACCTTTTATGTTAATGGTCTCGAAGGCCTGACCAGTGGAATGCTCCTGCCTGAGATTGGCCAAATGACAAAGTTGGAGTCGTTTGCAGTCCACGAAATCTCATTCAATAGTTCGATTCCAACAGAAATTGGTTTGCTTTCTCATCTTTCAAAGCTCAACCTCTGGAAATGCCACATTACTGGATCCTTGCCCAGTGAGCTGTTCCTTTTGACCAACATGGTAAGCAGCGTTGTTAAACTGTTTGCATACTCGGTTCTTCTTTCGCGACACTAACAAGGATGACTGATCAGTGGAGAATAGATATTGACGACAACGCCCTTACAGGCACCATCGCGACAGAGTTTGGTCTTTTTCCTAGTAAGTTTGCCACTGGGCTGTCTGCGTTGACTTCAACAAGCACCTAGATAACGCTCACTGTTGGTGTGCTGCACACAGATTTGACGATGGCTTGGATGAATGGCAATGGCTTTACTGGAACACTTCCAGGCTCAGTCTTTGAGAGCTGGGGACAACTGAATTACTTCAAGATAAACAACAACAATCTGCAAGGGCCACTGCCATCACAGCTAGGCCTTCTGACTTCCCTGGAGCTCATGTGGCTCAATCACAATGAGTTTTCTGGCAGTATTCCGTCAGAGCTAGGGCTCTTGAACAATGTGACTGAACTGTTTCTTCATGAAACCAATCTGGCTGGCAGCATCCCTGAAACCTTGTCGGACATGGCTGGGTTGGAGATGCTAACAATATCAAACACCTCTCTCACCGGCTCCATTCCCCACGATCTCTGCGGTAGTATTTGGGACATGTCCTACACCTGCAATGTTTACTTTGGACTTTGGACTGCCTGCTATGATGTGGAAAAAGTGAACTTCACCTGCTCTTCAAATGATCTTTGTGGATGCGATGCATGTGGGGAATGCAACTCTACCGGTAGCTAATTACTATTGGCATAGTTGTCTACTGAGTCTGTGCATCCTGCAGTTCCTTTAGGCACCAGGACAGGCGGGGAGAGGAGGCGAAACGTGGAGACTGGGTTCATACAAACAGCTCGTGCAAAATTCCTCCGATCATAGATCACAGCTGCCTTCCGACGAAGACTAAGACTGCTAGACCCAGCTAGCTAGCTAGCTCGCTGGACTGCTATAGATACCGTAGAAGCGTTCGTGTCCGATTATCCTTCGTAGATCTAATGTTCGTGCGCGTCGAACTGGTACCGTATGAAAGCTGGGGGGTGCCTCAAACCAACTGGTTTTGCCTCTTCCTTTCTTACCCCACCTTTCTGACAGTTTGGCGATTTGGTACCGTCTCCGACCAAGTTTAGCCATCTTTAACCACTTTCGACCGCCTCCCAACGCCTTCAACCGTCTGCTTTACCGCCTGTTTACCGCCTGTTCACCGCCTGCTCACCATTTTACCGCTTGTATTAGCCTTAACCACTCCTTACCGCTTTTGACCACTGTTCACCACCTGTTTGCATCAAATGGGTACCACATGCAGGTGGTTGGGGATATATTCAGACAAACAAGATTGATTTGAGGCACCCCCCTGTCTCTGAAATTCACTCGATGGTACATAGTCTAGCTAGTTGAGTCACTTTTGGTTATCGTATGACCGTAAGACCGTAAGACATCCAATGGCGGTTCGTCTGGATGACCAAACGATATGATATCTCTACGGCATTGCGGCGGCGCCCTCCTCAAACTGGTACGCGGCTCCAGTGTTGCCTTTGTGCAGCGGCGGCTACTAGAAGTAGGTTCATTTGGCTGGGTGAGTCTCAGATTGCCAACTAGCTTGCTACAGTATAGCTAGATCAAGTAAAGACTGATTTCGTAAAATGTAAAACTGTTCGCTATCTATTAGAGTAAATTTTGAGTGTCTGTTGTAGCCCTTTCAGTAAATGGACGCATGGGAAATGTAGTTAGGATACTGTAGACTATTGTCTCTTTCTGGTTGACGGCTGATGGGGGCATAGAGGCATAGATTCATTGATAACGTTTTGCATTCTTCTCATCCATCCTCACTCGACTCATCCCGTCATCTCTCCCTGCCAAGTCAGTTTGTAGGGAAATCTGGGTTGTTGTTGTTATTGGTATTGTTGTTTCCGCCCCTAGGCCCGCTGTCATGGTTGGTAAGGGACAAAAACGCAGAGTCCTGATCAATAATGTCCAAAGCATCCCGAAGGATAGAGGAAATGCGGCGCATGGACCTTGCTGTGTCATTACCACCACAAGTCTCCTGCACCTCTTGGCTGCTTCCGATAGTGACGCCATTGACTCCTCTGAGACATTGATGAAGGTTGTTGGATGGTGGTGTAGGTGCCTTCATGTTGTTGGTGTTTTGTGCGGTGCTATGTTCGTGTTGTGCGGTGCTATGTTCGTGTTGTGCGGTGCTACCGGTATGATTCTTCAGGAGAAGACGTGAAAAGAGGTCACTGTCAGTGTTACTCTGTAGGGCCGGTACCATCTCTACAGGAGAGGAAGATGTACTTACATGCTCGGTCTTCTGTGGATCTTGGGCTTCCGGTTGGCTCTAACTCTTCATTGTTTCAGTGAGCCGGCAGAGGTTTCACTGGTTGACACCAACCAACAACAAGAAAAGCGAAAACTGGCCAAGTCAAAGAACAACTACCGCTCTTGGTCATGAAGGGCTGGATTGATGTGAAACTCTTTGTTGCGTGGAGTCTTTCCAATCACTGGATAAGTAGCCACTCGACTGTCCTTCTGAATCAAGTCATTGATCTTGCTGACGAGAGTGCTGTTGTAGCAGGACTGGATCTTCGAGTTGGCCTCATGGTGGGTGTAGTTGCAGCGAGTAATTAAATAGTCTTGGACCCTCCAAACAGCACGTCTCCTGTAGTAGGTCTGCTTGATGTTGGCTGCTTTGTTGTTGCGTTCAGCCATGGTAAACTGGCTGGCTGGTTTATTGTTGCCAATGCCATGAGTCCATTCGGTCCAGAGTTCATTCAGAGACCTTGGACGATTGCAGAGCCTTGCAGTGGGATCATCGCCAACCAAGAGCTCATGGGTGTGAACAATGATCTCCCCTTGTCGCCCTTGTTGTTGTTGTTGTTGTTCATTTCGCCGATCAGCATCAGCTCTTCTTGCTGCGTTCTGAATTGGATCTTGTCGGCTGAAGGCTTGTGGAAGGGTAGCACCAAATCGTCTCTGGTTAACCAACAGCTTGTTGACTTGTTGCTGTAGCCACGCTCGCTGGGCTTCCTCTCTGGCTTGCAGCTGTAGGAAATTGTTCTGCATTGTTTGTTCCACGCACTTCAAGTACGCAATGACCTGATTGTTGGTTGGTCCTCCATGTGTCACTGGTGCGCGTGGACCGGCTGGAGCTGCCGCTGCTGCTCCACCATTGCCGTTGTTGCTGTTAACTCTGGCTCTGATGTCGAGTTCGCCATCCACGTTGAAGATTTCGAGTGGCACTTTCTTGACCGGATTCGTTTCAGTGTTGTTGCCATAGGTTGATTTGAACATAGTAATAATGTACTCTCGTTCGTCCTCTGGTAGAAGCTTGCAAGCATCAACATCAAAGACAGCCCAAAGCTTGGCTAGACCAAGCACTCGAAGTAGCCTGAGGTCGTCGGTCCTCTTCTTGATATGACTGACAACATGCTCATGTAGAAACTGATCAGTGATGTTCATGCGGGCCTCATATTTGATGGGACCACCATCGCACAACAAGGAAGCAACAAAGGCATCAGCATAGTTGTCAGTCTTGTCAATGTACCGTAGAGCCACCACTCGTCCTGATTTGTCTCCAACCCAACGTCCTCGATACTCCACTTGGCTAGTATTGGCTCCTTTCCTGGAAGCCTTGGTTGATGCAAATTTGCGCATGCTATGAGTGCCAACTCCTTTCTTGCATCCGACTTGGTCTTCTAGTGCCTTGAATTCAGCGTCATCCCAGACAACTCTCTTAATCCGGTTGGCAAACTGCTGGTTCAAATTCGCTGGGCCTTTCTCGGCATCATCATTATCAGTGAAGAGGTGGACTGCATGTGGATTGCGGTTCAGCCATTCGTCCATGTAGATAGCCAAGTTGACCTGCGGACAAACCTTCCAATCATCAGCTCCAAGAATAATTTGATCTGGACAGTCTCTCATGCTCCGGACGTTCTTGGAATACCTCGTCTTTGTGTAGATAGCGAAGGGGTACTCGACACATCCCTGTGGAGCGTCAACCTTGAAATGGCAGGTGTCATCAAGCCGATGAATGAGGTGGTAGCTCCACAGCGACATCATGGAATACTTGAACCGATGGTTGAAATCCTTCTTGCGTCGCAACAACTCCAGTAGCTTGTAAAACTCATTGTTGTTGTATGCTCTCTTGTCGTTTGCGTCTTTGCCCTCATCTCTTGCCTCATGGCGTTCGATTTTCTTAACCAGCTCATTCAAAGACACATGCCGTGTTGGATTGCCTCCACGACCATCAATCCAAGGAACACACTTGTTAATCATGTACCAGGAGATGCTCTGTTTGAGTTTCTCGATAGAGCCAGCTCGCATGTAGATAGGAAAGTCGCCCTCTCCAGGATTGTCTTTTCCATAGGCACGAAAGTTGAGGTATGCTCTCACATTGGAGGGAATGATTGCCGACAATGATTCTTTGCTAAAAACCTTGTTCTTTGGATAGACTTCGCCGTTCAAATGAGACATGAACCCCACCATGGTGGTCTGATGAACCTTCTTGTATGGATAGACCCATCCAGAGTCTTCAGTAGCTCCGACCGCCATTGTCGAGTTAACAGACTTGAGTTAACAGAACAGAGATTGATTTTGTGAGCGAAAGCCGTTGATGCCTTCTTCCACGCTGGCTGAAAAAGCTACAGAGTTAAGGCGGGAGTTTCGAGTAACAATGCTCTTCGGTACTTAGAGTACTATGGATTTTAGGTGTAGGTGAGAGTAACATTGCTGTGGTCCGAATGTGACTCTGGGTGTTATTGGGCGCTTTGCTTCTTCGGCCGGATTTTATCTTTTCTTATGTAATTTCTGTTGCTTTCTCTGGGGAGAAATACTATCTGGCACTGGCTGGACATAGAGGATTGGGGTACCGGGACTGGGTACTTAGGGTCATCTGGAGTAATATTACTGGAGTAACAATTATAGGGGTTTTCAACTGGAATGTGGAAAAAGTGACTGTTTTGTGAATTATTTAGCAAGGCTTGCATCAGGAAAAAACATTGGTCTGCCCTCTCCCTTACTCGAGTAGCTTTTTAATTAAGCTTGTCCTTTGGATCTACCGTGGCGTACAGCGTACAGCGGCATCTACCCGGTCGGTACCGTACATCCGACCACCTCACGGGAACTTCTGACCAGTTTGTGTGGAAGCGTAATGAGGGACAGAGAACCCCAAGCAATCTGTACAGGCTTACCTATACTAATTTCGTGCGTGTGAGTGACAACATAATTCCATGAATCCTTTTAAATAATTACTGTACTTTACTCAGTACTCTTAATTCGACAGCTGCACGACCACTAATCCACGGCAAGCAAGTTGTTAGAGGATCGGGGCCGAAACAGAAGAAGGAAGAATGCATCAGCGATGCTGCATAGATCTCTGACAAGTGACAACAGCTGTCAAACTTATTGGTCGTGGCTCATGGAAAAGGCCGGCATTAAAAGACACTAGACCCATAACTATTGAGTTACTATTGACAGTTTGTAACAATAAGTACTTAGAAAGAGTACCAGTTCGGGAAGTCCCTATTGAAGTCACACGCCAACTGTGACTCAGAACTCCACACCAAGACTGTTAGATGGTCCCCTGGCTTGCAGGAACCACAATTAGATGTAGATCCAGCAGAGCCTCCAACAGCTATAACAGCTATTGGGGGACATTCCCTGCTCAGCAATGGCTCCCATAATTGTTTCTAACCTTCAGTTATCAACAGAGCCATTGACTTCAATAGTTAGAAAGCAATCCTCAAAAACAACACCCGGCAACCGCTTCGATCTACATCAACAAAACTCACCATGAGCATCCGATCCTACGATCCCATCACTGACTTCATACACAGCACCCTCACCAAAATTACTGGAGCACCAACCAGAGCCTCCATCAAAAATCTCATCAAAGAAAACAAAGACAATGCGCGCAACATCCATAGCGCACGCGGAGCAGGAGACGAAGACACTTCGCATCTGCTACC